GACATGTCATCAATGTCAGCTTCGATCTATCGAAAAAGTCGTCCTACCACCAACAGTCACTATTCCCGCGCCTCTCTTTCGAAAAGCCTATACTGACTCTATGCACATGCCGACTTCGCATGGATTTTCCTATATTGTTCAAGCTCGTTGCTCACTCACAGCATGGCCAGAGTAGCGCATGTTATGAAAGGAAACTGGTCGCACGTTGGGAAGTTTTATTTTCGAAGACTTGTTATGTCGTTGGGGAGGAATAGAGGAAATCGTTACTGATAATGGCATGCCGTTCGTGGCTGCGCTCGACTGGCTCACGACAAAATACCATATCCATCATATCCGCATCTCAGCTTACAACTCAAAGGCCAATGGAATAGTTGAACGCTCGCATCGAACAATTCACGATTCACTCGTCAAAGCATGTGAAGGTGATATCACGCAATGGCCAATTCTCGCGCCCCATGTCTTCTGGGCAGACCGTGTTACAACTCGAAAATCCACTGGTCATTCACCATTTTACATGGCGCACGGTGTTGAACCACTCCTCCCACTCGATATCACAGAGGCCACATTCCTTATCCCAGATATCACCAAAATCATTCCTACACACGAGTTACTTGCTATCCGCGCACGACAACTTGCCAAACGAGATGAAGACCTTGCGGACATTCACAAATGCATCCTCGCAAGTCGTTATGCGTCAGTGAGAGATTTTGAGCGCTGTTTTTCAAACACAATCAAGGACCGAAGTTTCAGGCCAGGCGAGCTCATATTGGTCTTAAACAAAAAGATTGAGCCTTCATCAAACGCGAAGTGCAAACCGCGTTATTTCGGTCCTATGGTTGTCATCTCGCGCAACACAAACAGCACCTATTATCTTGCTGAAATTGATGGAGCCGTTTCGAGGCTCAAATTTGCCGCATTTAGACTCATTCCGTACCATGCACGTTCACCAACGACACTCGAGGTCACGCAGCTTATCGAAACGGACAGAGATTCAGTCGCAGGAGGAATGGAGTCATCAGGTGTTTAATTCATTGAAGGATCAACCGAGGACGGTTGATATCTGTAGTTGGGGGGAGATGTAAGGATGACCAATCATTTGTTGCCGGAAATAGCCGAATCAACGCTCACTGCTACCACCACCTCACATCACCGGCACTCACCACGACCAAGTCCTTGTCAGCCGTTATAGCACTAAAACTCTTGTTCGCGTCTCTCTGTTCATCCCCGTCGCTCTGCTCACAACCGAGCCATCTAAAAACTGTCAAAACCTATGCACGCTCTCATTATCCTGTCAAACCATACCCATTCAAACCTCCGCTCGCTCGTTTTCGTACTCTTTCGCGTTATATCTACCCTACCTTCTCGGACGCGACAATTCTCTCTTCGGACTGCGTTTTTCGCATTTAATTTTGGACTAGCCATCAATAAGGACCCTTACTATTCTAACAGTATAAGTAGCCCATGTACAGTCCATACTGACAGGCAATCAGATCTAGTCACGCAGTCTCGCTCTTGCACTCCTTGATATATCTATAACTCTTGTCTAAACGTCTCAAAATCATCACATTCCCTTTATCTAAAATGTTCACTAATAACTATCTAACTCTTTAGCGCTCGTACATCCTCCAGCGGTCTCCCCACCCCTTCGCACTCGCGAGTCCGACACCGACTTACACCATAACTGACTCAGAGATGGCTTGCTCATGCTGTCGTTCCATGATGGCTCGTAAGTTGAAAAGAAGGTGGGAGGATAAAACACTGTGAAACACCAACTGCAGTCTGAGTAGTATACGTCAAACACAGTCAGGATGTTCAAGAGTGAAACTTATGTGTTGAGAGACTCTGCATATTCCGACTTCACCAAAGGATTAGCAAAACCTAATTGAAAAGGGAATGTCTTACCGGAAGGAAACCTATAACTATGATGTTGGCTATTGACATTGCTTATGTAGTTATCGAGTGTTAGCCTGGTACCCCGAATCCGAAGACGAGAATTGCTCACCTAGTATACACAACACATAAACTATACCATCCCAGTACAGACACGCAATGAGACGGCTCCCCTGTCGTCCTCGGTGATACCAGGCTTGAAAAACATTGAGACATAGTATGACTATGTGTAAGGTCAGCTTTAGTAACTCCACAGAGGACAAAACAAGACCTGTCTCAAACAGAACCAACAGGGCATAGTCAACTGCATATATCGCAATTCTTTGACTTTGATAACAACCAGAAGTTCCTAGTGGGGGATCCTGGTCTACATGATAGCCAAGTCAGACTAGGGACTCGCCAAGGAGGGCTGTAATGAAACGTACATTGAAACCACGATAAAGCATTGGCACCGACCACCGCAGATCCTGCGATGCAGCCCTGCAAGATGTTGTGACTGAGATGGATATTGCCAATTGTAGGCATGCATTTACCAGCGCAAGTAGTAGTAGGGAAACAAGTAACACTCTGTTTCTTCCCCATAATGTGTACGTCCTAACAAGAAGAAGTGCTGCATATCCGGTGAGGATTATACTGAAAAAATGTGCAGGGGTGTCCATTACATTCTGCGGCAACAGTGCCAATTATGTTAAACCCTTTGCATTATAAGTAGTTCGGAATTGTACAGCCCATAGCGCTATATTAATACATCTTGAATGGACAACAGTCCATAAATACCGATACATACTTACCTATAACTATCCAATTGTCCAACAGGATGTATCCTTGAGGAGAATCGTTTATAGAAGCTTTGGGCACTTGCCAGCTTACAAATCACTGCTCAAACGGATTATCCAATGTGACCGCATTTTTAGCCCCACAGCATGGGAATTACCCCACAACGCCCAAAACATCGACCATTTTTGGAATCTCCACAATATCAATTATTCCCACACCCTCCCCACCTCATTGCAGCTTCACCACTACACCACAACAGGTCCCCCTTCATATATAAGTAGTAGTTTGGAATATATATGTATAATATAATATAATAGACCATTTAACATATAATAGGATACAGAATACTTTCGCATTTTTGCCCCTATGGTAGGGAAGTGTCCCAGGTTATTCAGAACATGTTTAGGAGTATACATGAAGAGATTCCCATCTTTATTTTACCTCCTGGAGCCTTCTGCATCAATAGATATAGCATATATATGAGAAAATACAAAATATGTTCTCATTTTAGTATTTCCAGGTGGATAGACTTCAAAAAATGATCCCCAGCATCTATTTAACAGTAGGAACAATGCATCAGGAGCCCAGGACCATAGGACAAGACCTTGTTGTGTTGTATATCTCCCCTCTCCTGGTGGTTCACCCCCTGTGAAAATTTTTCCTGCAGTACTGGACCTCAAGTATGGTAGGGGGTCTATTTTTATTCATATTTGGAGTATATATATCATATAGATAGCTCATTACACCAACAGGATACTTCTACAGGAACAAAAACATAGAAAATCACATTTTCGATGTTTTTGATGTTTTTCAGCATCTTACCATTGCACAGATGATCCAACCTGCTCATATACAATTAGTGTAGCATATATACTTGCTTGTTATGACCAAGATCAGCTACATATAGGGCGGAAGTTTGAGATCTGATGTAAAGGGGACATTTTTACTGATTAGAGGCCCATATGTTCAACTTATCAATTTTTAATGATCAGACACCTGGAGCACATTTTAAATATATTCAATATCATAGACCCTAATTTACAGAAAGATCCACCCAGAACTGAGGGTTGTGGAAGTGAAGTAGATAAGAAACTGAGTGTGGGAAAGTTCAAATGCTCAAAACATCGAAAATGGTCAGTTAAGCAGTGGTAGGACTTTAATCCCAGTGACAACAAGCAAGGTAGAGGTGGATACATGTCAAAAAGGTCAATAGAAATCGAGGTTTACCTATGTTTTAATGCGCATCGATGTGTAATGACAAAAATGAGACTTTTATCGATTTCATCAGTGTTACAAGTAACATTGGCTACATGGCCCCCCTATCATTTTTCCCTGTCATCCTCGCCCTTGTATGCCTCTGGCTCGTACTTCTCTACCGACTATCCATTGACTGGATCCTCAGGACTGTTCCCGTCCCTCGTCCCCCTCTTGTCGCACCCATGTGTGCACATGCCCTTGGGCTATGACTCGTTCTGACTCGTGCCACCAATGTGGCTTTCCTTATCTTGTCTTATCTTTCCTCTGACTCATGCGTGCTGCGCATTGTATCACTTACCGTTGGCTCGTTCCAACATTTCTCGGTCTCATTCCGCATTCGACCTCACATCACTAATCAGGCTCTGCTACCAGCGTACCTATACCCTTTCCGTTTTCCCCTTGCCCTTACCCACAGTACGGTAGCCTTGCCCTTAACCCTTTCCACTTAGTATAAGTAGTCGGTCACCCTGTACTAGATTCCCTAACTTGAATCTACTCAATCTTCCCTGGAACATACTTCCTTCTGAAGCCCCCTCAGCTTCAGTCTCTAGTATCTTTTCTTAGGTGCTCATCGCGCCTAAGTCTACCCCGATCGACTACTCATCGTTTGGACAAGACTGTCCTTACTTTGAGAACATCAGTAACTTTGAAGACAGCCATCTTAGAAGTCACGTGACACGCGCGTCTCTGATATCTGCCGACTTGTCGTCGCCAGTCTCAGTTGCTACACCGGACCCTTCTGGTTATGTCACGAACATTAGCAGACGACACCCCTCTTAGGGCTCCGCATAACAGATCTATTTGAGTGCATAACAATTGGTACGCGTTGAAAGAGAAATTTTTACGCATCGAAACCCATTCGATCGCTTTCTGGGCTGTTTCTACGTTCGCAGTTTAATCACATTGATAGAGAAAGAAACAAATTAATACATTGATAGGTATTGATAGGTATCACTATGGAAGGATATACAACGAAACACATCCATGCAGAGCGAAACACAATGAAGAGAAACAAACACACCGCTCGAAACGTGCACCCCTCCCCTCCACTTGCTGCAGCACTCGCACCTGCCATCCTACTCGTCTCTGTCGGATCCAGTGAACTCCTCCTCAGTGCTGCCTCGAGGCCCACTGCCAGTGGTACTAGTGACCACCGCCGATGTGTTTGTTGCCAGCTGTAGTAGAAGGTAGTTAGCTTGTGTATACTAATAGTAGAACAAAAACGCACCAATGTTTGAGCTTGCACTTCAAATACCTGAGGAGTGCATCAGATCATTGAGTAGTAATAAAAAACAACCACGTACTGCTTTCTCTGCCATGGGAAGTTGCTCCCAGTATCCTTTGAATTGTTTGGCCATGCCCAGTAGATTTCCGGCAGCTTTCCATGCGGCTGCACATAGATTCCTGTCGAGGACCGTTAGAATAAGTTCTCTGGCATCAATGATACACGCTCACCGTGCATTTATTGTCTTCTGGATATGCATCGCCTTGGCTTTGCTTGGCGCATTTGGCTCTTTTGGTGCTGTGGGAGCTTTGACTGGATGAGGTTTTGCTTTGGGCTTGGGCTTAGTGAGAATGATGGTGGTCACAGGAATTGTGTCTGTAGTTGTAGGAATTGTGTCCATAGTCGCAGGAATTGTGGTCATTGTCATGTTTGCGGTCGCAGGAATAGTTGATGGACTTGGAGTTGCAGGAATAGACAGGGAACTTGATGAGCTTGATGCACTTGTGTGTGTAAGTCAGAACGTCCCCGACACGCCAGCGACCCTATATTTGCTGATATTCAAACAGCCATTAGTACTTTGACTGTCAATCAAGAAACATTGAGACTTACAACAGTGGATTTTTCACCTTAGAAAATGTAGAAGTGACATTAGAACAATGACAGGATAATTGAACCCGTCTTGATCTTACCTCTGGAATCATAAGGCTGCTCTTCTCCTCATTTGTGCGAGATGAGGAGGGCTCAGAACACCCAGTGAGTGCACCCGTGGTGGCAGGCATGTCAGCAGTGGCGGGAACAACAACAGGCTCTGACTCTCTCGTCTCTGGGACAGTGCCAGCAATAGCAATTTGGATTGATGTGGGATTATTGGGGTTGGAGGGAGCACTCAGAGCCTTTAGTGCTGGATCTATGAAGTCATTGAGAGTGTCATGAGTGGGAGAGGCAACAACAATGGGAGATTGGTTAGAGGTGACATTGGGGGGGATATTGATGTCCATGTACTTGAGGTCTGAATCTTCTGGTGCCGTCACTTCGGTTTTTGGCTTCTTGACATGTGACGCTGATAATTCTGCAGCCTCGTCATTGTCTTATGATGTTATCGCTTTTGATCGTCCTCTCTTTCGACTGCCTCCGATGTGGTATTTGTACCATTATGAGTAGTTCTGTGTTGCAAGATGCTCGGCTTTCCAGTTGTCAGCGCAGTATCTGAACTCGACGTAATTCGTCCTTATCGCATGGTAGAAACCCTCCTTGAGGTCGAGAGGGACTTGAGACCAACTGCTAGGCAGTTTCACACCTGCTTGATTCAACTGATGGAGGTATGCGGTAAACACACTATGTGCAGCCTTTGCTCTGTGTCCGTCGACAGGCACACCAGAAGCATCTTCAATGAACTGACATGCAACATTCTCGCCTTTTGAAAGCCTCGTTGATCTGCGCTGTGTGCTTGTAGCACCGGACCCTAGCTTCGCAACAGCCTTCTTGGCTTGAATATGCAATGTCCATTTGGAGCGAGTCCAAAAATTGACATCTTTGTACTCGTCAGGACTAAGATCCTTGTCTGCTTCATTGGCACTGCTTGTGGCAACAGTATCGACGATGTGCCCGTTTCATCCAAGTGAGTTGGTCAGCGCAACAAACGAACTCCTGCAAATCAAATCAGTAGATAGATCACTCAAATAAATCAACCCACTGTAATGCTGCCACTTGTGCTGAAAGAAGATCTCTATCCCGTGCAAGCTGTTGGTTCCGCTGTTCAAGCAGCTGTACATGCTGTTTGGACTCCTCTAATTGGCTCTTGAGGTGCATATATGCGCTATTCTTGGAGTCTAGTGACTGGCAGCTGCTGTTTCTAGAGAAAAAAGAGCTGTGTGACGATACCCCACTCGACATGCTTGATGAGTCTAAGGAAGAGGAATTGTACCCATCCATGGTAGACGGGGGTAGGAAGTTGTACTGGTTGGGGGTTTCGCGTGTGTCTATCAAATTCAACTGATGTGAAAGACTACCTGGAAAGTTCTGAAAAGACTGGGTGTTGTGTATATTCATGATGTTAACAGCGAGATGGAAACTATGTTTGTGTAGCACAGTGATGATAGGAGGAAGCAACGTTAGACAACTTCAATCTCCGATTAGTAAGACCAACTGGAAATTCGCTAAGTCCCTCTCACATACGCTATGTCACTACCACAGGCTCTTCAAGACTTTTTTGACCTACGGAGTCCGAGAGCGAAATGGACAGCTTACTCATTGGTTATTTTAATGTATGCCCCTCTACGTCTACAGCTCCCATTCAACCTCATACTTTTCACATTGACACTGGTAGCACTACGGAGTCCGAGAGCGAAACGGACAGCTTACTCAATGGCTATTTTAATGTATGCCCCTCTACGTCTACAGCTCCCATTCAACCTCATACTTTTCACGTTGACACTGGCAGCACCACAGAGTCCGAGAGTGAAACAGACAGCTTACTCAATGGCTATTTTGTCATATGATCCATTGTAGTACATTCAATTCTTAGTATCAAGGACACGTGTAATAGACTCTGAAATGTACATTTATAACTCATCCTCATCTCTGTCTCCATCTCTGTCCTCGTCGTCTTCATCAACATGACCTGCAAATTGAGCAACATCAAGACCAGGTTTTTCAACAAGGAAGAAACAAAGTTCTGGGTTATCAGGGAGCTTATGGGGGAACATTGCGATGACAGCTTGAATTGTGAAGACCTCAACAACCATGAGTGATTCATTGCCTTGATGTGTGCATGAGTATAAAGTATTGTAAGACTCTAATAGAAGCTCGTAATCAGGTGTTGAATATAGGGATATGAGAGCGAGAGTCTTGACAATTCCATCGAAGTTCATCTGGAAATAAAACTGAACCTCGCCAAATTGTATCCGATCATTGATACAAAGCTGGTGATTTTTTTAGCTCGAGTTCTGATAGGTAAAGACTCTGTTACTCACCTTTACATTTCATGCCATGCGTGGCATGCGTGTCATAGCATTTTCCTTCCAACTCGATCGTGCAACTTGTCCATTGGGAATTCGTAAGCTGTTGTAGAAACAACTATACTGTGAGGAACAGATGATGCTCCAAACTGTATCTATAAATGTTGAAGGTCGTGCGTTTGCCTAGTCTGCTATGCTTGAGATGACAAGCGCGTTCGACCCTAAAGGGGAAGCAAGTGCAGTGAAGATCTAGAGGTATGCGCTGAAGCAAGGCGCGAGAAAGCGCAGGTGCACGCAAGGTACGAAGGCGCGGGAACGGTGCGCGCATGGTGCACTGTTGCACGGGAAAGTTGCACCTCATATAGGAATAGCTGTGGACAGTACACAGTGGTGCTGCGAGTTTGTGCTGTATACTCCCTAGTGGAAATTGCCATATCATGCCATGAGAGGCATGATTCTCTACATCTCCCAGGGACTTTAAATTCTGAGTGTCCCCACTCAGCGCGCATGTGGTGAGGATGTCGCATGATAGTATGCGCATGCGATGCATGTATAATGCTTGGGTTGTTGGGCGATGAATGCGCACATGCAGAAATTATTGCACGATGTGTGAAGCGCGGGAAGGCATAGGTGCGTGCAAGGTGCGAAGGCGTGGGAATGCGCGCACATGCACAAGGCGCGACAATGCGCATAGCATGGTGAATTGCGAGGGTGACTCTGGTGTGAATAGTGCGCCATGGGTGTGGGGTGATGATGCAAGGGCGATATGGATGTGGCGCGCGAAGTGTGAGCAAGACGCGCATGTATAGTGTGAAGCACGAGAAAGCGCGTGAGTGTTGCGTGTGTTGTATTGTGCATATGATGCAAAGTGGTGTGGTCCAAGAGCGATCCAATCCATGTCCAAACCAAGTCCTGCTAGGCGCGCTAAATATTAGGTGCTAAAGGTTTGAACAGCATGAGTAAAACTATATGTGAAAATGCGAAGGAAAAAATGGTAAACTTTGCGGATGTCCTATCCGACTTGTCTTCTTTGTGCGGCAGTCGACATTTACACCTTCCTATGAGTGAGGCGTGGGAAGCGCGCACACGTGTGTGCATGAGGCGCATGGGCGCGGGAATATTGCGCGCATATGCGCGCGTTCTAAGGTAAAAAGGGCATGGTGCCGCGTCATGCGTGCGAAGAGAAAATAATACTATTGAGCTAGGCGGGCACAATCTAAGGTTGTTTTCTTGTATGTTCTTCTAGGCAATTCCTATATGCATATATATCAGTGAGTTATTAGTCCTTGGGACGGTGTTATAGTGAGAGAAAATGAAAATGGAAGAGCGCTGGACAAAACCCAGGGTAAAACTGAATGGTATCCTATGAAACGGCAGTTGGTATATGCTCCTCCTTGAGCGTGTGCGAGTGCGTAGTGACTAGCGCACTTCGCGTCTCTTGCGAGCTAACACTTGACCCAAGGTAGGGTTGGAATGCGCGAGGCGGCTGGCGCGCTTGGGGGGGGCTTGTAACTGGCAGAATGAATTCCTGCACAACGCACTGCAGGTTGAAGGCGCGCCAATGGGAGGCGCTGCAAGGAGTGTAGAGGCGCCCTACAAGCTGATAGGATGCGCGCGATGTGCGCGCCTTGAAGCGATTTCGCACGAATTTGATTATATTGGCCGAACACGCGAGGAACGGCCATTTCTCTGCAAATGGATTAGCGAGAGACATGTATAGCGTGGAATTAGGCGCAAATGTTGTGTGAATGGGCTGTAAGGGTGGTATATCAAGGCGCAGTAGGCGCATAGGTGAAAAAGAATAGTGCGCATCAAGGTGTGCAGGAACAAAATTGACATGGTAAGCAAAAGCACGAAAAACGCGAATAAATATGGAAATTGCGAAGTTAAAGATGATGATAGGGGGGTTAGGCGCGTATGTATGTGTCAGGCGCGCGCCTAAGTCGCACCTGAATGGCTGATTAGAATATATTTTGTGTTGAATGAAAGAATTGTGATTTAAAGGGGGAGAAATGATAGAAATGCGATAGTGTGAAAACTCTGCTAAAATTATGAGTGCGCGAGGCGCGGGAATCGCGCGCACGTATTGTGCGATGTGCATGATCATGGCTGCGTGAACAAGGGGTGGTGCGAAGATGAATTTAAAGTTTTTGGAAGCGTCATATAGCTCCTTAAGAGCTTTAAACATGAAAGAGACAGAAAACGCGAAATGAGACGAGGAAAAATATACAATGCCTCTAGGCGCGCGCATTGCGTGTCCTCAGGCGCAATATGGTGCGCCTGAGTTGTGCCAGGGTCGCCTGAGACATGCTCTGCTTGGTGGTTGGGTAGCGCGATGCACGGATGCTTTACTGGTGCGTGATAGTCACTGGAAGCAAAAAGCGCAACATGCGCATGATCGTTAGTGACAGATTGAGTTTCCAGAGACAAACTCTGGTCAATGCAAGGTGTGACTTGAGCCTCTGATGCGGTAGGAGGCTCCTCTATAGGCGCGCTAAGGCGCAATAGATGTTTAGGGTCATCCCTGACCTCTGATGATGCGAGTGGTGATAGCGGTGATGGCGATGGTACGATTGGCGAGGTTTTTTCCTTAAGTGATGCAATAGGCAGGCGCATTTCGAGCGATGGCGTAATAACGTCCATAATGGGCACGTTATTGTGCAATAGATGTTTAGAGTCATCCCTGACTGCTGGCGAGGTGATAGCGATAGGCGCGCGCGATGCGATAGCGATAGGTGCGCGTGTTTCAACTGGCGCATTAGTGTGCAATAGATGTTTAGAGTCATCCCTGACTTCTGACGCGATTGATGGTGATGGTGATGATGCGGATTGTGAAGGAGATGGTGCTGCTGAGGATGATGGTGAAGAGGCGCCTGCAGTGCGCTTCTGGTTGCGCTTCGCGAGCGCGCGCTTGAGTTCGTGATCTAAAGTGATGCAGTCAGGTATGGTTTTGCATGCTGGCGCAGTTGATGGTTGGGGTGCACGTGAATCGCACAAAGGCGCAGGAAGGGCGTGCGCACGAGGCGCGTGAATAGGAACTGGTGGCCTTTTGTCAAGTACAGCTTCTGAGGATGCACGATAGAAGAGTCCAGCTGTCGCATTAGCGCTAATGGTCATATCCTGCATTGTGCGGCTTGCATGATAGCGATCTTTACACTTAGCCACCTTAACTTGCACTGGCGCAGTTGCTGTGACTAAGGTAGCAATTGGCTGCTACTATGGGCACGCTAACTGGCGCGCTTGGCGCGGGAAAAGCACTGCGCAGGTAGTAGGAACTGCGCAGCTGCGAAGACGTCCATGAATAGGGTATGGGTCATATGGGTGGTGGTCAGGAAACTTGATCATAAGGCGCAGGCGAATTTGCGCCTGAGCATCGCTAGGGATTCCTTCCATGAATAAGCAGTCGCTGTTCGGCCTTTCCAATACGGTCTTCATCCATGAGTGGCTGCATAATCTTCCTGAATGCGCACAGGTAACTGCTTAGTTCTGTGCAAGAGGGCATTGGTTTGTTAGCATATTTGCGTGCGATGGCACGCAAGTCTGTGAGCGCGTAGCGTCTTTTACCATCCCATCCAGGATACATTACCTTCACCTCATCTAAAAAGGCGCTGTAATCATCTACTGCCGCTTCAGGCATACCTCCCCATAGTTCGCGATCATCGCGCTCAAGGTAGCGAATAATACCTTTGATGCAGTCGAGTCCTTGGAGTCCTGCTTCATCAGCGAGCTGCTCATAGGTGTCAATAAACTCAGCGAGGTTGTCTGTAGTGCCATCGAACTTGGGTGCATTTTCTGTGCCATGGATGGGCATTCTGAAAGGCATTGAAGCGCATGAAAGGTGCGCGCGCAAGGCGCACATGCGTGGGAAAGCGCGCGCGCCTTGCGCGAGAATGCGTGACTAGAAATTGGTTAGCTTTTGAATATGCAAAGAGATTGACCTTATATGTGCAAATTGCGCTAAGTGCAAAGGATGCGCAGAACTAGATCTTGCTGACTGCTCCCCTCGCGGTGGGCTCCAGTTGTAGAAACAACTATACTGTGAGGAACAGATGATGCTCCAAACTGTATCTATAAATGTTGAAGGTCGTGGGTTTGCCTAGTCTGCTATGCTTGAGATGACAAGCGCGTTCGACCCTAAAGGGGAAGCAAGTGCAGCGAAGATCTAGAGGTATGCGCTGAAGCAAGGCGCGAGAAAGCGCAGGTGCACGCAAGGTACGAAGGCGCGGGAACGGTGCGCGCATGGTGCGTTGCCGGGAAAGTTGCACCTCAGTATAGGAATAGCTGTGGACAGTACACAGTGGTGCTGCGAGTTTGTGCTGTATACTCCCTAGTGGAAATTGCCATATCATGCCATGAGAGGCATGATTCTCTACAGCGTGCCCATCAAATGATGCGGGGCATTGGTCCACAGTGACATCAATCCCATGAGTGCGCAGGTATGAAACAAGGGCAGTTGCTTCATGTGGTGGTAGGTGATGGGGAGTGCATTCTCGTTTGTTGAGCAGTACATATCCATGACCCAGGTCAACTGAACAGCGCGGGAGTGTGTCTGTTGGTGGGTCGAGAGTTGGAATCATGACTTTCAGTGCATTGACTTGACAACGTCGAAACACCATGTTCAGACAAGTTAGCATATGGCTGAGAATGCGAATGAATTTCACGACCAAGGTTACCAATCGTCCGCTCCATAGTCCACTGTGAGGAGCAGATTGGAGGACCCTTTGTGATGGTCTCAGGTGCGAGATGTCCAAGTGAATGTGCCCATGGTCGCATGAAATGGAGGCAGGTCGACACGACGCTGATAGTACAGGAGTTCGAACTCCTTCTCAAACTGTGTGAGCATCTCGTGAGCTTCACACAAGTCAGCTGCGAGAATTTTGTGTTGCTGCATGATTCGAATCCCACGAACGAGCTTGCAAAAGTTCTTCCAGTAGATGTCAGGGAGAACACCATAGAGTATTGCAGGTCCAAGGCCGAAGAGATAAAGTAAAAACTCCCAGGCTTTATATCCGCTGTTGATTTTCTGTGCGGGGTTGCGAGGGGGACAATCAAATGACCCGGGAAGGTAAGGAGTTGCATCTGCTACAGCTTTTCCGTGGTCCTGCCATACCTGACCCTTGAGAACAGCCCAGTCCCATGTCTCCTTGTTGTCAGTAGGTTCACACCGAAACGAGCCACGCCAGATTGGAATAAGTTCATCGGCGATGTTGATTGCAGCAAGGTGCATGATATCAGACCTGAAACAGCCAGGAATACCAAGGATATTGTTGGGTTGTATACTGAGAAAGATAGTGGGTTTTGAGATACCTGTTTGGAGACGGCGCTGCTCATACTGAGTTTGGGTGCATGATTCCATCAGGTGCTTAAGGTTGTCGAGATAATTTCCTGAAGATGCTGGAGGAAGGTTCTTGACGTCGATATCAGGATGGTTAGAACCAGCGTGATCATAGTTGTTTGGCTTAAGAAGTGCAGGATAATAATGTCCACCAGCGCCTGGTTTATGGCGCCCTCTCGTACCACAGTAAAGTCAACAGCCATTACCTCCATGCGAACCTACGAGTCCATTGAGATAAACCATGCCTGGGCCATCTGCAGTTGCAAGAGCGAGGAAGGGAGTTGATTTGAATACACAATTTCGTGATGCGTCCCAGATGGTGAGACCTTCACGCTGAACGGCCACGAGGTGATATAGGCCAGGAAACAAGAACGAGTCCATGTTCTTCGGCTTGTTGGGACCAGGAATGAATCCTCCAGGTAGAACATACTTCTTCTTGTAGCGTTCCTGTGGGTGGTGGTCAAATACTACCCAAATGTATATCCAACAGTCCGATTGCTTACTCTCATACAGCTGAGCACCATCGATCGAAAGCATTAGTATAGGATCACCGTCTTTGATCTTTCCCGATCTGACAGCATCGAGATAGTCTGTACCATCAAAGAAGTCTTCATAAGCATCAATGACACCACCATTTGCCCTGAGCTTCTCAAGAAGAGCATTGGTTGCATCATTCCGATATTGCATCCTTTGTGCACTGCTGGGGTCCCTCCAAAGTGCTTGAATCTGGTCTGCGACGGGGATGGTCTCGAAGACCTGAACAGGTACCTTTTTTCTCCCTCGACTCTTTCATAAGATTTTCTGGTTGTAACGATCTTGCCCGCACTTTGGACACTTATCATGGTGTCGCCAGGGCCCGCAAAATGCTATGCATGAGTCTATGCACATGTCATGCACGATAGGCTGAATACCACTGAGTAGAGCAACTCGACGATGGATTTGATAGTGTGATAACACTTCGGAATCGGGAAAGCGCTCCATGATAGCACTATGTATTGAATTGTATGCAGCTTCAGTGGTATCAGCAAGGAATAGCTTTAGCGACAGTAGTACGTCGGGATCATCGATACTCAGAATCTCTTGAGGTGGGTTGCGAAGGCGTTCAAGAGCATCTGGCTCAATATTGATAACTCCATCGTCTAATGTTGCACTACAAAGAGCCTGAATAAAGATCATTGCATCTTTTATATCATCGAGTCGAGAGAGCCGAGAGAGTTCTGCTAGGTCTGTATCATTCAGTCCGACGGTATGGTCTGTTCGAGGGTCAACATCATTAGTGCCCCCTTGAATTTCTTCCTCCTCGGGCTCATGGGGTGGCATGTTCTTGTCTCTGTCATGTCCCTGGGAGTCCTCATGATTCTGCAACTCAGAAGTGTCATCCTGCCCTGCATATCCGTCTGAGTTGTCTTGCCCTGCATGCACATCCAAGTCACCTGGCCCAGGAAAGGCATTATCGTAATGTTTGAACGCATCCAGATGGACCTGATGCACATCATTGCGTTCCTCGAGTGCATCACCCTGACGAGCGACAATAAATCAGCAGATATTGAATGACACATGCAACTTACTGCTGGAATGATCTGTTTATCGTAATGTTCGAACACATCCAGATGGACCTGAGGCACGTCATTGTGTTCCTCGAGTGCATCACCCTGACAAGCGACAATAAATCAGCAGATATTGAACGATGCATGCAACTTACTGCTGGAATGATCTGGTTATCATTGGATAGTGCATGTGTGCCACTGTCAATGCGTCTACGCTTGAGAATATGTTGGTGTGCGGGCTGGACATCCGTGTCCGAGTCATTGAGCTGGACACTGTTGGAATTGGCGGAATTGGCCTGGATCAATGTGGTGAGAGTTTTATCGAAGACGGAGGCCTTGGGAGCGCGATATTTGGCATGACAATAGTAGGTTGCTCGAGATACATGCTGGCGAACACCTGCACATTTCATAAGACAATCACAGACATACTGTTCCTCCATGATATGATCGTGATATTGTAAATTACCGAAAGCGGGCAACTTGGTAAAAGCGTGTAGGAAAATGCAGGACCATGAAAAATACCAGACCAGTATGCGCGAAATGTAGGAGTTGTGTAGGTTCATGCAAAAATGCAGGAATGTGAGTGCTGCAGAGTGCAGAAATGTCTTATCTTCAGAATGTAGGATTGTTTGTATCGACATACATTGACGCTCTTCAATTCATATATATTGTATCTATCCGGTTCAATTTAAATCCACCTCTACCTTGCTTGTTTTCACTGGGCTTTAATACTGGGTCAACTCATATCTACACTACATTCTTTCCACCTATCCTCTACTCTCAGGGCAGTATGTAGCATAGGTTTCTTAGGTAGTCTACTATGTATCCTACATATTTTTAATAAAATCTTCGACCTGTATTATATATAAATATGTTTTTGTGTGAAAAGATGTGTATTGTCACTTTTCACACATATATTATTTTGCTTCTCATTCACTCAATACTTCATGGATCTTTCTGAAATTTCAAGGCTATCTTCAAATATATATATGAGAGGTACTACAGGCCTCTGATCACTAAATATACCCTTGATTATCATGGAGGTCTCTTATCAGTAAAAATGTCTCCTTTACATCAGATCTCAAACTTCCGCCCTATATGTAGCTGATCTTGGTCATAACAAGCAAGTATATATGCTACACTAATTGTATATGAGCAGGTTGGATCATCTGTGCAATGGTAAGATGCTGAAAAACATCAAAAACATCGAAAATGTGATTTTCTATGTTTTTGTTCCTGTAGAAGTATCCTGTTGGTGTAATGAGCTATCTATATGATATATATACTCCAAATATGAATAAAAATAGACCCCCTACCATACTTGAGGTCCAGTACTGCAGGAAAAATTTTCACAGGGGGTGAACCACCAGGAGAGGGGAGATATACAACACAACAAGGTCTTGTCCTATGGTCCTGGGCTCCTGATGCATTGTTCCTACTGTTAAATAGATGCTGGGGATCATTTTTTGAAGTCTATCCACCTGGAAATACTAAAATGAGAACATATTTTGTATTTTCTCATATATATGCTATATCTATTGATGCAGAAGGCTCCAGGAGGTAAAATAAAGATGGGAATCTCTTCATGTATACTCCTAAACATGTTCTGAATAACCTGGGACACTTCCCTACCATAGGGGCAAAAATGCGAAAGTATTCTGTATCCTATTATATGTTAAATGGTCTCTGGAGGAGGAGCAGGTACATAAATGAGCAAAAAAAGTGGTCTATTATATTACATTATACATATATTCCAAACTACTACTTATATGTGAAGGGGGACCTGTTGTGGTGTAGTGGTGAAGCTGCAGTGAGGTGGGGAGGGTGTGGGAATAATTGATATTGTGGAGATTCCAAAAATGGTCGATGTTTTGGGCATTGTGGGGTAATTCCCACGCTGTGGGGCTAAAAATGCGGTGTCGCAATATTGTGGGAAGTCCTGACGAGTCAAATAGGAGTGAATTTCTGCTTTTAGAAGCCAGGATAACTATACTAACAGGATGTATCCTAGACTGATGGATAACTATAGTAAAGTATGTATCACAATTTATGGATCATTAACCATATTGATGTATCTTTCTGCCATCATGTGGTGAATTGTAAGGCACAAGATGCAGATATCAGGGTTAGGAGGGGTACTCACACAAGCCAACTTGGTAAAGCGATAAGCACTAGCATAGAGCTTCCATGAATGCAATACAGTCTATCTTTAATATTGGTGCTCACAACTTGTGATGACGTGGGTCCAAGAGAATCTTGATCGTCAATTGAGCAATGCAACATTGTAAATACAATGGACACGTACAAATCAAGTCCACTGGGACGTCAACAAAAGATGTATATCGAGCCACCGTGAAAAGGATCTGAATAAAATCCCACCTTCTCCCCCAAGTGAGGTCGATCTAGTGCTGTGTCAATTGAAACTTTGATAGCATACTAAGTGGATGGAGGACCCACCTCGGCTTCTAGTTTGATACAGTAGTCAAAGACCTTCCACTGATGAGTCAAAGCTTATCTGATTCATATGTTCAATTTCCTACCAAGACCGCCTAACCCTACCACTAATTGCATGTCGGTAAGGTGGCAGTATCATAGTAGGAGTTATGTGTTATGTACTCTTGAGATACTGACAGAGTTGGGCTTCGTGAGGACTAAAATGTTCATCTAATAGTGGCAAGACTCACCTTGACAGTCTGAAGACGCAGTGCAATCTCAGGTGGGGAGGTCATATTGAGTTAAAAATGGACGAAGATCAGAAGGGAGCAGAAAGGTTTGCCAGAACAATGGGCATTCATAAGTATTTATTGACACGGGGTGCTTCCTGCAGCATTTAGAATCTTAGATATCATTCTAAACCTTATTCGTCGGAGATTTGGCTTACAGTACAGTCAACATCATGATATGAAAACATGCATGTTCCAAACCACAGACCAATTATGTCTAGGTTCTAAATCAGAATTTTAAACCCAAACATGGACATCGACGATGCAAGACCCACAGTTATATCCGAGTCTGTCGTTGCAATCAGTGGGGCCTTAATAGATAGCGAACAGCCTTATCGAATGTCGTGCAAATCTCACAGAGGTTACATATGAGCATGAATTAACAAGGGATAAAACAGAAGGCAATTGACTGAACATTGGACCTGGGCAGGTTAAACATCAACAAAAATATTGTTAGCTAGCAGTGGATGAAGAGGAAAAACGTCAGCGGGATGATTTGTGACATTGAAACACAGTGGTGCTTAAACCAAGAGTTGACGTAATCACAACTCTTGCAGATTGCAGGGGTGGAAGAGCATGCACAAAGATAGGAAAAGGCTTCTGGGATAGCTGTAAGGCTTAGTTCTGTGTTGCAAGAACTGGTCCAAAATCAGGAATTCATCTTGCCTGAGAAGTATATAAGCAGGCTCTGAGGTTGTACTGAGCTCAGGATCATCGGCACTCAGTTTGTACAGTCACAGATCGTTGGTAGGGCACAATGTTACATAATTCGAGCCTGAAGACACATGGACGCCAGAGGTACGAACACTGAACGTCTAAGATGAAGACTCGGTAATGGATTTAGTGAGACAATAATCTAGGGGTGCATGTGAGTTTAGAGTTTTGTCATGGGATCAGGATTCAGTGACATGATGGGGAAGGACAGACCTTAAAACCACAGATGCGCCCATGACCAACCCTTCAGGGTTCTGTGAATGGTACATCCCGCCATAGTCCACAGTCATGGTGTATGCAGTTAGCCTCTCGACAGGGAAGCTGCACAGCTTGATGAGATTCATCTTGCAGTCGCCGAAGATGTTGTGACTCCTCATATTGCAATACTATCCCTGGTATTCTGAATGCATGGAGGAGTTGAGAGGATGCGACAGAGGAAGGGCCAATGTGGGCGATGTATAGACAGCATGGTTCCGAGTGAGTGATATGGTCTTGGAGGGGGAGGAGAAGCACCTGAAATTCCCAGTGTGTCCAATGCATGCTTGAGGATGAGTACTGTTCTGGAAGCACAGTATAGCTGTACTTGACCGTGCTATAATATTAATGCCATCCTGCAGATAGAACAGGTCAAGTGGCAGTATTTTAGAATCATGATGTTGATCAATAGTGCATCACTTACTGCATTGGTTCACAGCTATAACAGTGTTTGGCCGTGTGCCAGTCCCCAACACGTTCATTGAAAAATTTACGTCACTCTATGGATCCGTGCGCAAGGTTTGAGCTTCAGATTGGTCAGCACAAATTTGCATCAGAAAGGCTCCTTTGAGTTTTTTTAATGATCACTGCATAGCAGGTTTTAGCTACTGGCTTGGATAAGCGAAGCCCAAGCCAGAGTGTCCAGCAGAGCAGTTGTGAGGTTGACCACATTTTTATGGTGATCACTGATCATGCGTCCACGGAGGCACGGGACGGTCACGTGCTGAGATACAAGAAGGCCATCCAGGAGAATAGGTGGTGTGCCACGCAAGAGGTGGGGGAAGTAAGAGTTCGTGACATATACCTGGCATAACTTTGGACAGGGCCCCCCCCCCACAGTGACAGTGTTACAGTCACTGTAATTTAGCCATATATAGTAACTGTCTCGATCACAAATTAGAGCAACTTATGCATACAGAGTTGGTACAGAGCATGCAACAAATGGATCAAGCAACGGAACTACTGAAGGCAGTGAAAAATAAGCAAACTAACATGAAGTACTATGCTGGAGGGATGTACGGGCTCATTTGGAGAGAAGAGATCCAGCGGACTCGGCGGCAGGACATTTAGTATGAGAACCCGATGCTACAGGTATGTTTTCCTTCTCCTCGCTCCGACGAACCACTGTGCGAGGGCTGCCACCGATCCTTTGGGATGCGTGAAGCACCTTGCTCGAGATCTGTAAGCTTCATCGCCCTCCAAACACTTACTGGCAATGGAACCCCTGCCTCTCTATGTCCAGGGACAGCGTACTCCTCGTGCTGGCCCAGGATGTGTGCCGTCATATTGTAGCGCCAGACAGCTTCGACGGGGAGAATGGGTCCTTTTCGCGTGGTCTTGCCGGGTTGAGGAGGGAGCACAAGGTGACAAAGTTCACATTTGAGGGGTAAGTTGCGACAGGGCTTGTTCTTCGATCCTGAGTCAGCTGATCCATACCTGAATGTGTGCTTGTATATGCACTTCGTTTCCCAGGTAGGTGCCCCGCTGCTCGGTACTGTTATAGTGATAGTGCACTCAGGCACTCCAGCATGACCACAGAAGCCGCACGGGCTCATAAGACCGACCTATATAGAGCTGGTGAGTAATGTACATTAATGCAATGTTTAAAAGAACATACCTCTTGCTTCAAAGGCAGCTCCTCGATAGTGTTAGTCAATGCGCGCAATATATGGCGGCCTACGTGATCGCGCATGTCGACGACCTTGGTGTTGCAAAGTGGACACGTTGTGATGCGCTCCCCTTCGGATGCTGTGAGTTGGTTACTGGCCTCGACAGAAATGACTGCCGGAGTGCCTAACAATATAAATTATGATTAGAAACAAAGTGTGAACTAAAAATATGAAATGTACTGTCTGGGAGTCGGTAAGGGAACATGTTTGGCACTGATGGAATGATGACTGCAATAGACTTCAGGTTGACCTTCAACTCATTGGCTTTGGCCCAGAGGAGTTCGCAAGCTGCTTGCATTATGTCCTGAGAGATCTTCCAGGTGCTTTGGCCGCCATTGACTTGAGTGAACTTGTCAGTGTCAACGTCATCCCTTAGGTGAATGAAAGTAGCCTCGGGATTGACTGGTTCAATGAGGGAACCAGGAACAGTGACCATAATGACACATTCTGTATGCTCCGATGTTCCTTGAATGATGGAACAAGCCTTGATGTATCCCCCGTCCCATAAAAACGATTGAGAGCCGTCAGGAGGAGGGTCAGTTGCCACGAGACTGAGTAGTTGACCAGTTATCTTAGCCGTGTTTCGCAATGCCTTCATTATTGTCACATTAATTGATGCATGAGAGATATTGTTGAGGCTGACAGTGGTGGAATGAGGTACACCAATCGAAAGAGTGTGACCAGAGCAAAGGACAGTGAGAAAAATGTCCCCGACAAGAAAGAGATTGTGATCTGTGATATGACCTGCTGATATGTCAACATGTTTGTTGACTTTAGTATAACCTCCATGGACGCACTCGAGGCGGTTAAGGGACTTGGAAATAAAATCCTTGTTGATCACGAGACGACATATCGTCTGTTTGTGGATCCACCTTCCTTTGTATAGGAGGTAATCATCGGGGCGTATTCCAGGCCCCTGTGGCAAAGCAGGAGTCGAAGGGTCTCGAGGGATGCGGTGAGAAGATGAGCAGGGAGCAGGGGCATCAGCAGATGACTCATCGATCAATGCCTCCTGGAAAGTAAGCATCATTTCTTCGTCATCTTCACCTCCCGCTGAGACCTCCGGGTCGGGAACTGAGTGGTCGTGATCATGTGCCAAGACTGTCTCTAGACACTGAGAGGGAGGGGTGATTGCAACAGGAGGAGGAATATAGGGAACTTCGCTGGTGTCCTCGAGGTCGTTGTCTGTAGTGATCCCGAGGTACCTGTTTTGTCCAAATGGACATAGCATATCAACACCAGGCACACCTGAAAAGCTCTGCAAATGAATAATGAGTTGGCTCGAGTTGGGATGTGGTAAGGATGGAAAGAGCAGCATCATGGCCACTGCGCCATGCCATGGGCAGATCACATCGGCCGGAAATGATATTGCCCTTCCAGATCTCGCGATTGATGTGATCAACGCCTTCCTGACGCATTAATTTGAGGCGCCGGTGGCCTGGATCCAGCTCTGGATGACGCCTGAAGACACCGTTGATATCCTTTGCAGCTCCTAAACAATCAAGAGCCTGAGCGTACAAAGACGCAGAGTTATGGCCCCCAATCATGCACGTGCGCCCGAAAAGGATCTCGAGGGGGTCGTCCCCAACATCCCCAAGGAAAAAAGGAGCGTATGGGTCTAGCGTTTGTTGCTTAGTGAGGCAGAATACCGAATTCTTTACCATCGTTTGTGTGTCATAATACAATTGATAAGACATGAACGAGCGTCGATGTGCATGAAAGAAGGCGAACATAAGATGAGAGTATCAACTGAGCAGCACAAATTGTTCGGACAGGGAGAGGGAGACATCAGTGAAAGGCAGGAGGATGGACTCCAGGAGAGCACTAAGGAGAGCAATTGATTGGAGATCCGCGCGAGTGTCAATGTCAGTTGAAAACGAGTCGTTTATGATGGAATGTTGAGAATTGGAGAACTCAATGATGGCAAGCATAAGCTCAACAGCACGAGGGACATCTTGAGGATCATCTGGGTAGAGAAGTTTGGTGACAGCCGCTTCGTCGAAGGCAGGTAGCCATACAAGGTACCGTGCAAGCATCATTGAATTGATGATGCGACCATTGTTGAGTACGACACTGGCGGGAGATCGAAGGAGAGTGCATATGCCTGGATTTAAACTAATCACTAAGTATTCGATATAAGAAAAAAACACTCACGCTTGAATATGTGTTTGAAGTCAAAGTCGAGTGTCACCTCGCTGTTGCCAGTGAACAGATTCAATCCCGGCATGTTGATGAGTGTACCATACAAATCTGAGCCCTCAGAGAGTGGACTCTTGACGAACAGCCTATGGCCAGCAGCACGTCGAGTAGCGTCACCGTCAGTTGCAACTGACCAGACTGGTCCGATCTGTGCCACCGCACCAGTTGAGTTCCATTGAGCAATTGCTTGAGCAAGAATCTGCTCCATGTCATTGGTGTTCTCGGTCTTGCAAGTAGGAGCAGCTAATATAGGGAATATTTCGTCCCGGCCAAAACACAAGGCCCCCATAACAGTTAGTTCCTTGCCCAGATGGACATGACCATCATGGATCTTCTGTGCAATGTTGACTGCAGATTCATAAGTGCGGAGAACAGGATCGACGAGGTGTGAGTGTTTCCAACATAGACCGCCGACCTTGTTGTACTTGCTGAAATGGATGGCCATCTCCTCGAGTGCAATCTTGTCAATCATAAGACTGACACCACACAAGACAGATTCCATGCAGCTACTAAGAACGACGGCATGAATGTTGTTGTCAAAATGCTCGTTACGAATGGTCCCAATTGTGGGAGTGATGATGGTGAAGACAGCTCGAGTGCGGAGTGTGCGAAGGGAAGGGATAGCAAGTTTCTGGTTTAGTGCGAAGAGAAGTTGACGACCACCAAGCCTGTAGACAAGGGTGGCAATATCCAGGTCAGTCGCATCATATTCCTGAGGATGGTAAGCACCCTCAAGGGCATCCTCTAGTTTATTGACTATCTGACGGATGCTGGCACCATTGCGTAAAGCAACGTTGATGATCTGTTGAAGGCGAGGAATGTCTCGTTCAGATACAGCCATGAGGAGTTGATTGTAGTCATCGAGCTGCGTGAGCGCACTCATATATTTGCGCGAATCATTCAGCTGCTAATCAGAGTTAGTATGAACACGAAAAAAACCATAAAGCGGACATACCTGCAGCTTCAACTGCTTGATTTGTTCTGCGTAAGTCCTTGCAATGTCCTGCACATGTGCAAGACCTAAAAACTTGTAGTTAGTGTGCGCTTTTGGAGTGTGCGCAATGTCTGCCAGACGTTCGACATGAAGAGGGATCTCAGTGCATTCATCACAGGGAGTACCATATGACAAGCAGCGCTTAGACTGGAGGTGAAGAGCGCTGGGATTTCGAGTGTCGACAAAGAAAGGTAGGGCATCTGGGCCATTGTGATAGCGCTCCCAAGGAAAGAGCATAATGAAAGGGCGGAGGTCCTCTGGCCAGACAATGGGAACTCCAGTGCAGACACTATTAAAAGCAGGTGCAGGTGAGAGAGCATGACGAGGTCTGCAGGCATATGATGTAAGTACGTATTAAAGCCGAAATGAAACATACCTGTGATCAGACATAAGACTCAGGGAACGAGACAAAGGCGCATCAGACATGGTCCGATCAAGCACAGGTTTGTTTTTGTCGGTTGATGCCTTGATGCACTTGTGGCTGCCTCGATGGCTGCTCAATGAGCTGAACTGCCCAGGATACCAGAGAGGAAGTTGGGATGAGATGCTCGTTTGGACCCATTCTTTGCAGTCAGGGCATAGCATCCTCCATTGTTGTTGGGTACCGATGGTTACCACTAGTACCTTAGCCATGTACACGTTATAGAGCGAGTCCGGCGTGTTTATTAATAGTTGTTCCTCGATATCAATCTCGGAATCAGGGACTGAGAGGGAAGATGAACCTTGCGAGTCTGAATCTGATCGGCCCCAGTATGAGCTAGGACCTCGAGAAGGAGGCAATAAGTTAGCGTAATCTTGCGAGTATGCCGTGGTATCTTCCGATAATTGTATGTTGAAGTCTATGTCTGGGCTATTAGAATGCCCAGACGCCGATGAATCTGTATTGGGGTCTGATCCGACGAAGACCATTGTTTGATGCGAGGTGGCTATATGCGCCTCATTTCTGATGGGAGCCGAGTTTTCGTAACGTGCTGGGAAATCGGACTGAGTGTGTGCATGCAACATAGAATACATAATGAATGAGAGTATGCAAAAATGAAAGAGTCGTTACTGATATGATGGTGTGAGGGAGAGAGATGAGGCGCGTCAATACATGTATGAGGCGTGTCATATCAATATTGACGTGTCGTGTTATATTGGTCACATGTTCTCAATTTTTACAACCAGACATATTGATTTGGCTAGTAGCGTCATTGCACGCTTTGATCTCATCGATCTGACTATCTATACATGTTCTTAAGTAGCAAAAATGGGGGCTTTACAGTGTTCAGTTAAAGAATTTATTAAGATCCTAGACCACTGTCGAGGAACTCAGAACACTGCTCTCGAAACTTCAAGTGGCTGTATATTAAGGTTTTGTAGATTATATAACGACGAGCCCCATGTTGGGAATTAAGGTTTCGCTCACCTCTTGGTGCCACGCATGGGAAATCGCCTGCATTGATGAGGACGGGAGGTTTATTGGTCACCGGCACTATCGAATCTCCAGCTTCACACCCATCAGTGACAGTACTGTCCAAGAATTGCAGCAGCACAACCCCTCTGCATTCCTTACATATTCAATGCCGCCCTTCGTGAATTTGTTCATCATGCTCCAGTCATAGTGTAAGCATGACGCTTACCTATGACGCAACTCATCTACCTATGATGTCAGATAATGACGTCGTGACTCAGACGTTCTGTATATCTCTACCTGATTGGACACCGCTCACGATACTGTTCCCTATATATAGCTAACCACATTGTACTGACTACTTATCGTATGATACCCCCTCTCAATCCTATACGTTCATCCACGTTACTACTGTCTGACCGTCCATCAGTGTTGTCGTCACACATCGACGACATTACACTTTTTTTTAACGTTCAGTGAACGTAAATTTGAAACCGTTATTACCTTTACCGAACCGACTGTTGGGAACTGACTATCAAGGTCAAAACCCATCACCGTTTACAAAATACAACCTGCCTTACCAACGTTCTCGTGCCTCTGCTCCGCTGTCAGCAACGACGCGCAGCAAGGCCAAACAGATAGCTACAGTCACAAAACCTTCAACCGTTCATACGTCACGTACCGTAACCACGCCGTCAACCTTGACGTCCCTCAATACCTCTCTCCCACATTCGCGCATACACTCATCCTCATCGACGTCCTCCGATTCATCAGACTCTATGTACAATACGCCTCTCATGTCAACAAGCTCAAAATTGGCGCGTGTCGAGCAACCATCGGCTAGCAAACCGCCGTTCCTAACGGCTGGAGAGCTTACACCGGAGGCCCTACGAGGTTGGGAGTTAGGTTGTACGCAGTTTTTCTTGCACAAGGAGGTGAAGGACGATGAGATGGTAAAGAAGGTTGCATGGGGAATGCAAGACCCGATGATGCAGGACTGGTACAGCAACAACCAAGTGCGTCTGGACAAACTGACGTTCAAGGACTACATGGCGGAAGTACGAAGCTACTGGCTTCCCTCGGGCTGGGCGGACATTGTCCGTCGGAAGATGCTATCTTCAACACAGGGCCAACGCCCGTTCCACGAGTGGGCATCAGAGTTCCAAAGCCGCAACACCTTACTGCGTGGCACTACCTCACACCTTGGGGATGCCAACATCCTGTACCACTTGGAGTCACACATGAACTCAGAACTCGCAGCTGACTATCAAGCCGAACAGATCTCAGAGACCGACCTCAGAAAGTGGATCGAAAAGGTGCGCCTGCTCGACGAGAGACGCTTACGCTACCTCGTCAGGCAACGAGACGCTGTAGAAAATGCCTTGCGCGCAGAACGTGCACGCTCAGGAGGTGAAAAGAAGTTCACCGCAGGCACACGCTACAACACAAGAGCTGGACAGAGCAGCACGTCAACAACCTCTTCGTCCAAAACATTTACTCGTCTACCTACGCTAACTGACAACGAGCGGCAACTCCTGCGGGATAACGACGGATGCTTTAAGTGCCGAGAACCTTTCGCTGGTCACTCGTCGAGCAACTGCCCGAAAGGATTCCCGGACGGCAGCTCGTACAAAACCTTGACGGCCACTATGATCGCATCAAAGAAGTCAAGGAAGGGCAGTGGTGTAGTCGCGGCGGTAGATGTCGACGAGGACCACACTGTGGCTGTCGTAATGCCCTCGGCCGTCCTGGGGGATGGTACCGACTCTGAGGAGTGCGTGGCTCCCTTACAGACTCCTCACTTGCGTTGGGATTGTCTGGTGACTGGGCCTGCTGTTTCTTCTTCTGTCCGTGTGTCAGCCCTTATTGACCATGGATCCTCTTTAGTTCTGATTGACGAGACGCTCAGTCACAAACTTGGATTGCGGCTACGAAGACTGCCGAAACAACTATCAATATCCCTCGCACTGTCAAAGACGGAGAAGCAATGTTTCACTCTTTCGCACTTCGTCAAGATTTCATGTTCTTCGCTTGATAATGGTTATACTTCTAGAACTGTTCGCGCAATTGTGGCGCCAAACCTTTGTACCCCTCTCCTTCTTGGAGGGCCTTTTTTGCAACACAATCGCATTGTAATTGACCACGAACTTCGGACTTGCGTCGCAAAAGACGCTGGATATGACCTTTTGAACCTACAGACAACTGCGCCTACTACCAAGAAAGCCGGAAACTGGGGTCCGGAGCTACTCTGGAATAAGAGAAAAGTCGTGAAGGAGCTTAAAGACGTCCTACCCGAGCTCAAGGCAATTGTGGATAGTGAGTGCGAGATCGTTCAAGGAATTGATGTTGTCGCCGCAGTACAATCGCGGATCAACGACCTTGAACTTCAAGCCTCACTAGACACGAGAGACAAGAGAATGAAAGAAGAATTCAGGGACCGTTTCCCGTCAGACATCCCACACAATGACTCGTTACCTTCTGATGTTCTCTTTCGAGTTCAATTAAAAGATGCTAACCAAATTGTTCAGAAACGCTCTTACGATTGCCCGAAGAAATATCGTGCCGCATGGAAAGTCCTGCTCGATTCCCATGTGGAGAGCGGATGTTTGAGACATTCCGAAAGCGAATTCTCGTCTCCCGTGTTCATAATCCCAAAAGCTGATCCGACAGTCTTGCCAAGATGGGTGAACGACTTTCGCTTACTTAATCAGAACACAGTGGCGGACAACCATCCCCTACCTCGTATCGACGAGATCCTGAAAGACTGTGCTAAAGGTAAGTTTTTTGGAAAGATCGATATGACTAATGCCTTCTTTCAAACGCGGGTACATCCCGACGATATGAAGTATTTAGCTGTACACACTCCGTGGGGAAAATACGAGTGGACGGTGATGCCAATGGGTGTACGAAACGCGCCTGCGGTACATCAGAGGAGGATGACTGCTGCCCTCCATCATTTGATCGGCCGTATTTGCCATGTATATCTCGATGATATAATTATTTGGTCGCAATCACTCGAGGAGCACGAAAATAACGTACGACTCGTTCTAACAGCCCTACGCGGGGCACACTTATATTGTTCGCCGAAGAAAACCTCATTATTCAACGCGGAAATTGACTTTTTAGGGCATCACATTTCGACGCGTGGCATCGAGGTGGACAAGTCCAAAGTCGCACGTATCGTGGACTGGCCTATACCACGCCGAGCTACGGATGTCAGAGCCTTTCTAGGCGTGGTAAGATACCTCGCTGACCACCTACCGGACGTTGCTAGACACACTCTTGCACTGACACCTCTCACAATGAAAGCGGCCGATAAGTGCTTCCCGGAATGGACTACGGGACATCAAGATTCCTTCGACACAATCAAGAATTTGGTACTTAGCCCACACTGTCTAACGACCATAGACCACGACAACCCTGGAGAAAACAAGCTGTTTTTGGTTTGCGACGCGTCGGACTACGCTACTGGAGCTGTTCTCTCATGGGGAGCATCTCGGGAAACGGCTAGGCCAGTGGCTTTCGATTCAACACAACTTAACTCGGCGCAGCGTAACTACCCAGTTCATGAAAAGGAGTTGCTTGCAATTATTCGGGGACTAAAGAAGTGGCGACTGGACCTACTTGGTATGCACATAAACGTATATTCTGACCACTGTACGTTACAGAACTTCGAGCGGCAACGGGACCTGTCAAGACGTCAAGCGCGTTGGGCGGAGTATATGTCGCAATACGACATCACGATTAATTATATCAAGGGTAGCGATAATTGCGCCGCTGACGCACTTTCCAGACGAGCAGACGTGTGCACGCAAAACTTGTGTGCTGCAGTACTAAGCATTGGAAGCGATACGGAACTTCGAACTCGAATTTTGGAAGGCTACAAAAGTGACGACTGGTGCAGGAAGCTCCCCGGACTCCTAGAATCATTGCCGGGACTATCGCGTGATGAACACGGGTTCTTCTACATCGCCGGAAGACTGGTCATTCCACGTGTCGACAACATCCGGGAACAACTGTTCCATACCGCGCACGACGCATCTGGTCATTTCGGAGCAGACAAGACTTACGGCCTTCTGCGAAACTCGTATTATTGGCCGAATATGAGGCGAGACTTGATGGAAGCTTACATTCCTTCTTGCTCAGATTGTATGCGGAACAAATCAAAGACAATGGGGATCGCAGGACCATTACACCCATTGCCGGTGCCGGACGCACGCGGTGATTCAGTGGCTATCGACTTCGTCGGGCCATTACCTGAAGACAAGGGCTACAATATGCTCGTCACCATGACTGATAGATTGAATTCGGACATCCGGCTCGTTCCTTGCAGAGATAATATCTCGGCGGAGCATTTCGCGACGTTGTTCTTCGACAACTGGTTCTGCGAAAACGGTCTTCCTAAGGAAATAATATCGGATCGTGATAAGCTTTTCATGTCCAAGTTCTGGCGCACATTACATAAACTGACAGGTGTTAAGGTTAAAATGTCGTCCGCGTATCATCCGGAAACTGATGGTTCGAGCGAGCGATCGAACAAAACTGTGACGCAGTGCCTACGCTATTATGTGAACCGGAACCAGAAAAACTGGGTGCAGGCGCTGCCTAGGGTACGTTTTCACATCATGAGCACAATTAACGCAAGTACAGGTTTTGCACCGTTCCAATTGCACCTCGGAAGAACGCCAAGGATACTACCACCCCTCGTACCATCCACGTCAACACCTCAAGACTCTGATGAAAAGCGTGCGCGCTCGCTACTCTCGAGGCTTAGCATGGACTTAATGGAGGCTCAAGATAGCTTGCTCGCAAGCAAAGCAGCTCAGGCATATTCGGTAAACAAGAAGAGAGCGCCGCATCTCGTCTTACAGCAAGGGGACCGTGTGATGCTCGCAACGAAACATCGTCGCCGCGAATACATCCAAAAGAGCGACAATCGGGTAGCAAAGTTCATGCCAAGATACGACGGCCCCTACACCGTCGTCAAGGCGCACCCTGAGAGCTCTACTTATACACTAGACCTGCCGAACTCACCAAACATCTTCCCGACGTTCCACGTCAGTCAGCTTCGCGCTTTCGAACCCAACGACCCCGCTCTTTTTCCCTCACGTGAACACCCGAAACCCGGACCGGTTGTCACAGCAGACGGCCAACTTGAGAATTTCATCGAAAAGATCTTGGACGAAAGGAAGGTCGGAAGAGGAAGGAAGTATCTCGTCCGGTGGGTCGGATTCGGCGAAGAAGACGACGAGTGGTTGCCACGACGGGACTTGGAGGACTGCGAGGCTCTTGACGCTTGGGAAAAGGAAAGGCCTGAATGATGGAGGGAAAGGGTGTAAGCATGACGCTTACCTATGACGCAACTCATCTACCTATGATGTCAGATAATGACGTCGTGACTCAGACGTTCTGTATATCTCTACCTGATTGGACACCGCTCACGATACTGTTCCCTATATATAGCTAACCACATTGTACTGACTACTTATCGTATGATACCCCCTCTCAATCCTATACGTTCATCCACGTTACTACTGTCTGACCGTCCATCAGTGTTGTCGTCACACATCGACGACATTACACATAGATAGTAATCCCTACATCTAATTCAGACCTAGATCTGGGTCGTATAACTGGAATTTTACTCATTGTCTATGCCTGCCTCCATTTACCTTGGTTTGCATTTTTCTCCACTGAAAACCTAAAATTCGCGCGTGCCGCATAATCCAATCAATTTATATGAGCGCAAAGTCCAAACAAGTTACAATCAGTACTTAGTCCACACGAATTGCACTGTACAAGCGCCGCACAGCCCAGTAAGATGCGAGGAATCCAATAGTCCCTTGACAAAACCATTGAGCTCTACTGTCATGATCACGAGACATTCCTTACCCGTGACAATAAAGTCGAAAAGGCAGATCAAGAACAAATAGCCGAGGTATAATGCAACGCTTGAAAACGAGTCCAGCGAAAGTCGGGATAACCAGTAGAAGAGTCCATAGGCCAAGATCCAAAATGCACTTCCACCGCCAGTTAAGAAAGCACGCCAATGCCACCTGCAGGGAGAATCGAGACAATGAATTACAAATAAACATACCTCCACATACCTGTACTCTTCAGCGCAAAGGTTGAAATACGTGAACAAGATCGTCACAGTACCAGTGGTAAGTGCAACAACTCCTGCTGTTAGCGCAAGGAAACCAAATGCATAGTAGGCGCGAGATGCAAAGAGGCTAGACATGACGAAGTAAAGTTCCACGAACGCAGCCCCTACAGCATTGACAAAACTGGTGAGTAACGAGAAACTGAACGATGAGCTATATCTTACCAAATGGCAGGATCCCTGCGAGTAAAGCGGAGGCCTGCAATAGAGTTGAAAATTATGTGTACGTTGTTGGCCAAAACTTACCCATGGTCGAAGGTGTCGAGGAACTGGTGGAATCTGACGAGGTATTTGGTTGACCCTCACAGGATGTGATACACCCTGAAACTAAATGAATTTCAATTGCATCAAACACGCAATACACGCACCCCTTGCCTTGACCCGATGTATGATCCGATCGAGGATAGCGGAGCAGAAATCCCAAACCAAAGGACGACGATCAAGAGCATAGTGGCTAGTGTAGGTGAAAACTGGGTGAACTCCAAGGTCGCCAACACAATTACTCGAACTTACAAAATGGAACGGCCCCTGAAGAACCGGCAACAAGAAGGAAAAAGTCCAACAAAAATATCACTATGAATACCAGCCTAGTAAACGGGATCAGCCAACGAGTAATCAGAATAATGCTGCAGACGGGAAGGCTCACGTCGGGAGAATGGTGGCTGTAAGGAATGTATTCTTTCTTCTATCAACGCCACCAAGTGATGCATATATTCTACTCGAATAATAACCTCCGATCCTGATATCTCTTCATAAGCAACTGAGCGCTTCGGTATGAAGAGACAGCTTACCCTCCAAAAAGGGTCCAGCACACCATCATGACAGTTGCAAGAGAGCCCCGGTTTGAAGGTGAGAGGAATCCCAGCAATGCGAAGACTATTAAATATCGTTTTTAGACAGTTAACGGAGGGATCTAAGATTTAAGGGAGCTACCAAGGGTAACAGCGCACATGGCGCACAGCTGAGCTCCATTTCCTACCATGACAGAGAGCACCATTGGATATCTGGGTGCGCGGAAAACTTCTCCATGCACGAGTTTCCAACCCCAGTCTTCTTGAACATCCTCCTGCATTTCGTTTGCCGTCAGAACAACCACGTATAAAGTGTTGATCACCCACACTAAGATCGATAGCATTGTATCGTGAAATCTGCATGGACGTCAGCTTGGAATTATGATAGTGAAGCTAGCAATAATCACGTCTCTGGAAACAGTGCGCCATAGAATCATGGCCACCATGACGCAAAGGAAGACAACGATGACAATCGAATTGACGAGGCTGAACCAATGTATCCGGGGGTCAAAAATATGGAGATAGTTGTCCCATCGAGTTGCCTATGAATGATCAGAAAGACTGAGCACATGTCTTGCCCGTCATACGTACCCATGGCGTGTCAGATTCCTTAGGCAGGGTGTTAGTCAGATACTCGCCGGGACCAGTCCCTTCAAAACAAACTTACGTCCCAAGTTACTCGGTAGGTATACCGTATGTTGTTGGTTTCATTCTCGGATAAACCCAACCTTGGAACTTCAACATCACAGTCCGGCGAACTCTCATCTTCTTGAGACCCGCCGCGGCTGCAACAAAGATGTAAGTAAAAATAAATGATACACAAAAAATTTTGCGCACCTGGATGGCCATACCAGAACTCCAACGACGCGGTAAATTCCAGGTGATGGCTCATGATATCTGAGTGATGCATTGAGTTTAATGAACTTCAGTACTGATAGCTAGGCACGCATACCTCAGAACAATCTCATAATGATTGTTTAGGTAGGGAATATCGTCGTCGTCATTCCCAAGGTTGAATCCCATATCGAAGAAAAGGTCCCCAGTCTTCATGTCTTTCTTCATTTCCGCAGCTGGCAAACCATCCACCAGCCAGTTGAGAGCATAATCCTCACGGATTCGCTCATTGATGAATTGAGCATCTTCTCCAGGTATTTCGGCGGTACATAGCATTTGGCAAGTAGCATTAGCTTGCAGCATTTTTATCTGTTAAAGTAGTCTGAGTCTGCATATGTGACTATTCGGCCAATGACAACCTACATCATATGGAGATGTGAATATTCGGTCGCCAAATAGTATCGATCCCAATGACTCAGGCTGATCCTTGGCACCTCCGTTGGGTGTGCAGAAGTGAAATCGAGGATTGTAGTAGTCGTCTGTGATGTGTCAATGTCTGTTGCTAATTGCAATCAATAGGCGAGCTTCTTACAATTTATGAGGGATTTCTGAAGACCAGTAAGCAAAGTAAAGTCCTAACATCATGGAAAAAATCATACCAGTTTTGAATTGTCACTTCCAGCGAGCATGGGGGTGAGCGCATTGACATACAAATCGACAGGATCGCGCTGCACATAGTTGTGGGGTGCTGCACCAGGAAGGTAGAACGCATTAGCAGCTGAAGGAAGTAAAGCAAGCAGTGCACTTCCAAGGAGGTAGCTAGAAGTACCTCTCATGGCAGAAAATAGCACTTCGGGGAGTTAAGAGCGTTAGGGAGTAAGGTACTATAGCCTATAGGGACACGACACTGGTAATCACGTGACGGAATCGTCAAAATAAATTATTTATCTACTTGATCTTAGCGATAGATGCATCAGCCTCTTGTCTGCCTTGCTTTGAGCTTAGCTATCGCTAGCCCCTGCTCCAGCGTGACGCCACAGTATCGTAGCATTCGACTGGAGACCCCACTGCTCTCGTCCAGTGTATCGATCACGATCACGATGAGGTCCCCAGTTGACCCAGATGACATGATGTTGGAATGTGAATCGCTCGTAGCGTGCTTACTTAATCAGCGGTACATATGCTAGTCACTATGTTCGCAGTACCTCACCGACTTCCGACGATAACGGGATTTCAACCACCCATTCACTTTCTGTTCTCTAGGACATTCTTGAACAAGGAGCCTTCGCGCGTCTCTCGTGTGGTGGACGAGGACATTCAATTTGTCCCCCTGCCACTGTTCACGATATTTGTGAATTTTACGATGCACTTTATTATCCCCAATATCATCACGCGATTTTTGCTACTGCTCAGACCTTCTGTGCCTGGCTGCTGAAGTCTCGTGTCCCATCACCGCTCCTGCTTGGTGTGTAGAAACCCGTTCACAGGATGCATATTGTTCGACGGTGTCTGCATTGTTGTCACGTCCTCTGATGTATATCTCTCGCTGTCGCTTGGTGTTTTCGAGAGCACAGGTTATCACCACTGTTCCTTCATGCGTCAACTCTCCCATAGTTCTCGCCAAGCTCTTTCTTTTGCTTGCCTGTTGGTACAGTATCCCCCCTGGCTTTTTTTATCCGAAGAGATGATCAAATCTCACTTGGACGCTGTACTTCCTCTACTTTATTCGAGAGTATCTGACATGTTCCAGGTTTGCGTGTCGTCCGTCGCACTAAGCCCAACTTCGTCGCCACCATTTCCCACCATTTCCTCGAACTGCGTGCGACTCTCCTCACGAAGTCTGTGCCCGAAGTATTGGGTAAATTTGCATCAGCGAACCTTCCGGTTGAATGTGATCGTCTTTTTCTCCCGCTGCTCTCTGCTTTCTTTGAAAATGTTTATGGGCAAGCTTTCGTGACCGCTGTTATTGTTTGGAGGACATGGCATTTCGAGAGCGGGCAGGCTCGCTCTAGCAAACACATTACACATTGAACAGCCTCGAATTTAAAACAACACACTAACTCATGTCAGATCTGACAGTGTTTGAGAGTCGAACCAAAGCTTAAGTTGAACCAAAACGGTGTCGGGCGTCGTCAGGAATTGGCGCGTACGCGGCGTTACGATTACAGTAGCGGTGCCAGAGGTGTTCAACGCAGTGCTAGAATCAAATGTGTGTCCTTTCCGGCACGTAAAATCGCCACCTGTCCATCGATCAGGTGACTCCTCTCAAGCTTGAAGTGCACGTCTGGCTGAGATACGTTATTCAAATATAAACCATTCCCGAGGGCAAGTTGTCGTGCTGCCGCTGAAAGTATTGGTCAACAAATGATTCAATGGAACCAGGGAAAGGCAGACAAACACTTTGATGAGGTAAGTCCAAACTTAGCAGCAATGTTTGGGAGCGTGATTCCGAGCAACTCGTCCTCCGTACAGAGAACTAGCCGTGGGTCATTTGCAAGGGATTTCACGATATCATTCGCGTGCAGAGTTGAGTAGTCTGTTCCAAAAAGGACGTTGGTTGCTACCCGAGCAGCCTCTAGACCTTCCTCTGCGGAACGTGTCAGAGAGTGCAAGTGAACAACAGGTTGACTCTCACTTCCATGTATCATCAATGTGACTTCTTTGGCAAGAAGTTTCTGCGCTAATCGGCGTTCAGGCTGAATTTCATGTTCTCGCACAACAGCGTCTATTTCTTCGACATGAAGTAGAGTAAACATCTTGAGGTACTTCTCAACATCAGCGTCCGTTGTACGAAGGAAGAACTGCCGGAAGAATTGAGCTGATGACCGGTGATAGTTAGCCAGCATACCTGATAGAAGTCTAAGTAACTTGTGAGTTTTTCATCAAGCCATACAGCGTTCCCCGCGCTCTTTCCAAACTTCTCGCCTTGTGAGGTTGTTAGCAATGGTGTGGTCAGTGCAAAACATCCCTCATTGTATCCAGCACAATCTCCTTGGGCTTTGTTTATGAGGTCGATGCCGGAAAGAATATTCCCCCACTGATCTGATCCACCCACTTGAATAGTACATCCCATCGTGCGAAAAAGTTCGTAGAAGTCGTAACCTTGGAGAAGCTGGTATGTGAACTCGGTGAACGTGATGCCATTGTGTGCACTCATTCGCAATTTTACACTACATCACATGGTCATGGACAAAAGGAAACGTAGGAAGGTAAAGCGACGGACCTATCCCTTGCCAGCATATGATTCACGCGGAAATGAATGCCGGTACTCCGCAAGAAATCGAGAAGATTCAATTCCTTTAGCCAGTCTACGTTATTGACGACCTGAAGTTGAGAAAAAGTGGCCAGGGAGGGAGCCTTATCGAGGGCATACTCTGTCGCGCGAGAGAAAAATTGCTGAATAGAATGGGTGAGTTTGACAGTGTTGGATTCGATTTGAGCCTTTTCGGACAGTGAGCGTTCTATCATACGGCCAGAGGGATCTCCGACAAGCCCCGTCGCTCCACCTATCTGGGTACATTCAGTCAACTTCCAATATATAAATACGCGAACTTACAAGTGCTAGCGTGTTATGCCCTCTCATGCGGAAATGCAACAGACAGAGAAGCGGGATAAGATGACCCGCATGTAAAGACTTTGCCGTTGGGTCAATCCCAGCATAGATGGTGCGTGTTTTCTGCAAATGCTTAGCGAAATCATCTGGGCTGGAACACGTCAATACATACATCCTCCCACTTTATGAATATGATAGTTCTCACCGCGTCACATCAGCAATGAGTTGGCGGGCACTCAACTCTGACAAAAGGTCTCGTCCTGAATGTAAATTTCTAGTCCGAGGGATAAACTTCCACCTGAGGGGTATTCGGTGAGCTGTACTAGGCCATCTACGAACAGGTTTAAGCATTATTTCGTGTGTTCACCATCAATCCAAGTTGAAAGAAAGCAGCAATTGCTAAAATAAAATCACGTGATCATAACTGATAAAGTATCATATTAGAATTATTGGTAGCCAGGCGTCTCGAGTAACGAGCAACTTCTAGAATCTATGCTTTCGTAATTTGCAGACTCATCTGCCTCTCTGAGTTCCTGCGATCGATTCTTGAAATATGCAATTTCAAGTTATTGCAAAATGCCACACAACTCGAGCACGAGTTTGCAGAATGGAGCTTGCCCGTAAGTAACTGGTTCTTATCAGGTACTACGGTCATCACGGCAGGATAGATTCAAGTTGTTGTTCACAGATGGCGTCACAATGCTCCCTACATTCATGCCCGTAGCAACACAGGCAGCGATCAAAGGCTTGACCCCACAACAGGTTGAATCGCTCGGAATCACACTCATTCTGAATAACACATACCATCTGAATTTGCGACCTGGGATTAAAGTCCTTGATGAAGCGGGAGGGGCTCATAAATTCCAAGGTTGGAACCGTAACCTTCTCACTGTAAGTGCAACTTCAGAAACTTGTCGCGCTCAAGCTTAGCTTTTCGAAGGACAGCGGAGGCTTCCAGCTGGTCTCTTTGAGCAAGTTCACCAAAATCACCGAGGATGGTGCTTTGTTTGCTAGTCCATTCAATGGAGAGCCCACAATGCTGACGGTTGGTCCCTAATGATTACTACCGCTTCTTCTGTTGATGAGCGGCGCAGCCTGAAGAAAGTATTTCTATACAGCATTCAATCGGAGCGGATATTATCATGCAACTAGATGACGTGGGTGAGGCTACTCATATCAGATATTTTCCAGTGTTTAATGTTAGCTCAGTTAGTAGTTTGACTGTTGGACCTCGAGTTGGCGAGGCCATGCACCGTTCTGTTCGATGGCTCGATCGTTGCATTGAACAGCATGAAAAATCCGGCCGGAAAGACAAACAAAACCTTTTTGCCATTGTTCAAGGAGGGTTGGACCCAGCCTTGCGAGATCTATGTCTTGATGCAATGATCGAGCGGAAGGACCAAGTCACCGGGTATGCTATCGGGGGTCTTAGTGGAGGAGAAGAAAAGGGTGGGTTCCTTAACTAATTTAGAGGCTTTGACGACCTGATGCACCTTTTTGAGACGTGTTCTGGAAGATGTAAGTTTGAATTTGGGCCGTCACTGTGCACCTGATCTCGCACAGTATCAAGCAGTGTGCAGACCGGCTACCTTCAGATCGTGAGTATATGGATTTCTTCTGTGAAGTCCCCTGTAAACTTCTGCGCACTTAGGGCCCCGCTATTCCATGGGCGTAGGTTTTGCAGAAGGTGCTTGAAGCGCTTGCTCCTCGCAGTTAATCTTGATCGTCACTACAGATCTACTGGTCTGCGTCGCATTGGGTGTTGACATGGTAAGCTTGAGATCGGTGCACCTTAGCGTGAAGTTCTCCGACAGTTGCTCAGGCGGATTGCGTGTTCCCTACTCGGACTGCAAGATTTGGTGTGGCCTTGACTTTCAAGGGTCCCCTCAACCTCAGTAGGTTTATTTTGGCATATGTCAATGCGATGCGGACTCGTTGATTGATGAATAGAGCTCGGAAAGCACACAAAGAGCATGGATCCTATAGACAAGAGTTGCCCTTGTCCGACATGTGCAAGCGGCATGTCCCGAGCTGTGTTGCACCACATTGTCACGATAGAGACAGCTGGTGCCCACGGTAATTCGAATCTGTTTCCTGTGGTATACTTAGCTGATCTTTGGTCACCCATCAGCCCTCACAATTCACAACCTTGTTTTTCAGGCCCGGGTTATGGGCGGTGCAAGAGATGCTATTCTCGAAGGTCGATTCCCTGAGTACCTAAGGTCATTCTTCTTCGATTACTTCGGTGACACCGGATACCCCGAATGGTGTGTAAACGCTCTGCGAAGCGTTGGGGTAGACCTAATGCAGGGTGTCGACGTGCCGTTAGTAAAAGGCTCCGGAGTAAGGTGGGAGTACTCGGATGCGGCTTGACAATGACATGTCATACGCAAACGTAGGGGAACAACAGATACCGGAAAAATAGTGTAAAAATCAACTCCTTCCTTTGCGACTCGGCCGAGCATTCTTAGCTTTCTTCCGTTCTGCGACCATCCTATTTTTGCGTATCTGGTCGACTGTCTTGATCTCGGTCTTGACTCTGCCCACTGATTTCCCTCCGAAACGCCCGCCACTTCTGATATTTTTCGCTCTACCAGGACTTTTCGGTTTTGCCTCGCCTGCTTCCGCTGCGAAACCCACTTCTTTCTTCTTGAGCTGCCTCGACTTGCGCTCGTAATCTTTGCTGAGCTTGTCCAATGGCTTAGCCTCCGTGACCTTGTTATGTTTCCATCTCCTCCCTCCAGGCCCGACCGCACCAGTACCCCTCCTTTCCATTTCTCTTTCTCCGATCTTTGGCAGCGACACCCTTGCTTTCTTCTTCCAGTCGTCGAACCGGCCACTTTTATATGTAGCAGGCAATTGAGTGCCGTTCTCTGTTCGCAGAAGTTTCATGTTGTCGGAGCCAATTCCGCCCCCTTTGACGAATTTCTTCTTTTTCTTGTCCCATGACAACTTGTTCTGGTGCCGTTGACGTGCACCGATAGTGTCCTCATCTCCTGCAAGGTCGAGGATGGCACCCTGAGCTTGAGCGGCAAAGGAAGAAGCTCCGTCTGTGAGCGAGTAGCTAGGAAGATATCATATTGTATTTCAGTGTGGATGATCAGGAATAGATGGAATATACAAACCCTTTTTCGGTTATGGCGTCCTTTTGATAGTGGGACATGTAATAATCATCATCGCGGAAGTTATTGCTCTTCTTGCTAGAGACATGGAAAACAGCCTGCAGAAAATCAGTATCGACACTTGGAGTTTTGAGGAGACGAACCGCGATGTCTTCCTCGTCTGCCATTTCCACGTCACCATCTCCACCTTCCCCGAGACCGTCATCACCGCCTTGGTCTGTGTCGACAACAGTAGAAGAACTGGGCCCTGAATTTCCTGCCCGCTCTACGGCCTTTGCAAGCGCCTTCCTCCGTTCTTTCATAAGTGCAGCATTAGCAGTCGCCGCTTTTCCACGAGTGCCAACCTCGAACACCGTCTCAGCAGGCTTAAATGCGCTGACCGCACGGACGATCGCAGCACGCTTCTCCTCCATTTCTCTCGTATCTTCTTTTCCGCCATCGCCGTCCTGCATTAACGTGAGGACGGGATGTATGACACCTTCCTGTCCGTTACGTCCAAGCTCCTTTGCACGTCGATAACTCGCCGGGCTGGCCTTTCCACGACTTCGTTCATACATCGCGTGTCCACGTCCCATGACTGCACGTAGGGTTGGCAGCGTATTCTGTGACTCGTCCAGTGTACGAACATACTCGACCTCTGAATCCATCAGATCTCGTGGAAATGACGCAAAGAGTAGTGATTGAGTGTAAGGCTCTTCTGACGTTGTAGCCGATGCGGGGATGGACGAAGTAATCAACGGCCGGCCCAGAAAGAGTTGCAGGTCACATAGATATGGCAACTCGCCATGAGCAACGAGACTCCACGCCCAACCTTTTCTTCCAGCTCTGGCCGTGCGACCCACGCGGTGAACGAATATTCTTGCACCGACAGGAAAATCGTAGTTTACCACATTTTCAAGAACTGGTATATCGAGGCCACGGGCTGCAACATCCGTGACCACCAATATGCTGGTCTTTTGCGCCAAGAACTGATTCATTTGGTATGTCCGAGCAGATTGGGTCAGCGAGCCGTAAAGAGCAGAGACAGCGTAACCAGCTGCGGCGAGGAGCACAGAGAGGTATTCGACGTGGTGTTTTGTAGCTGCGAACACGAGTGTCTGGTGAGGCGCACTATGGGTTGGGTGTTTGGCTTTGAACTTCCCCTTCTTGTGTTTGCCCGAGGATTCTGTATCACCTTCCTTGAATGATTCGGTGCTTCCATAGGGGACTTTGATGATATCCCGAAGGAGTGCCAGAAGAGATGCATCTTTCTCCGCTTGTTTGACAGAAAAAAACGCCATTCGTAGATCAGTACTGATTTTCGACTCCGCGTCTAGTCGCACAAGTTTGGGGTCGGACAAGCCTGCTTTGGCAAACTCGACAAGCGATTTCGGGAGGGTCGCGGAAAAAAGAAGGGTCTGACGAGACGTGGGAAGGCGAGCAAGAATTTCTGTAAGTGCAGTAGCAAAACCAAGCTCAAAAAGACGGTCTGCCTCATCGAAAACAACATATTGCACGGACGACAAGGAAAGTGACATCTCGACGATTAGGTGGAGGAGACGACCAGGAGTTGCGATGATACTAAATCGAGAACGATATCAGACAATACCCACATGAATGAAATGCACGTACATATCTGGGTTATTACTGATCATTTCAAACTGTTCATCCAGACCCTCGCCGCCTACAATCAGACTCCAGCGCAAGCTTTCGCCTTTTTTATTCAAAGCATCGTCAACATCATCGCCCGCATGTTGCGCAGCATCATTTGTCCAACCTCGCACGAGTGCCTTCCCAACTTTGACAACCTGAGTGGCAAGCTCTCGTGCTGGGACTAGGATAATTGCCCGAGCTCCAAAAGTATGTGCATGTCTGCCTCCAAGACGCTGTACTAAAGGTACCATGTACGCAAGAGTCTTTCCAGAACCAGTCCGGGCCATTCCGACTAGATCTCGTGGTGGAGATGCAAGAAGGGCAGGAATGGATGCACGTTGTATAGGTGTGGGTGTGCGATATCCCTGGAGCGTCAATGAACGCAGAAGCGATGGGTGCAGACCTAGAGAGGCCCATCACCATCAGCACAGGATATTCATTGAATAGGAGCACATACCCATGCTTTGGAAGCTTCCACCTCCGATGTCACCCTTGCTTTTCCCTTTACTCTTAATCTTCTTCAACATCTCAGTACCGCCTTTCATATTTCGCTTGGAGATAGAATCGTGAATCAACTCTTCAATGCCGTCGTCATCATCCGGGTTATTTTCGATTAGACTGTCTTTTCTCGGTCTCTTGCCTGTGAGAGCACTAGAGATGTCGACATCGAATTCGTCGTCTGAAGCGGGTTGAACTAGTGAAAAGTCTGACGATGATTCTTCGTCCTCCTCAATATCTCTGTTCCTTTTGCGTGATACCATGGTCTTGGGGAGAAGTTTGCAACAAGAATGCTGAAATGTACACAGCCACCGACTACATGATTAGGTTCACGCACCCTTTGGGAGTGTGAAAGATTTATTCTGATATTTCGTACAACCCGAGCCTGAGCTTCCAAGTAAATGGTGTGTTCAGGGTTCTTATCGCTCCTTCTTCATGATAAGGAATGGGGTACAAACCACTTGGAAGATATTGTTATGCCATCATGTGACGGTATATTGCCGCACACACATCGCGTTTTACTGCATCATTTAATCATTCACGGGCCCCAATGAACTTTGACCTTGAGGCTGATTTTTATTGTTATCGCGGCGATAAGTCCCTCCCTTGTTGCTGAGGCCGGGTCCGACCCCCGGGACCACAGAAGCTCTCATTTAATGTTTATGACTAGCCGAGACATTTGGGAAATGGTATATGCCATTGCCAGCGACGAGCGATAGTCTAGAGCTCTGGAAGCACCGGACTAGCTGACCGGCCCGGGGTATTCAAAAGGCCGCCCCTGTGCCTTTCATACTACAAGTATTAGCGACCAAGTCGCGATCGGACGCAGTCCAGGCTGCGCGGTCATGAAAGTAAGTGGTAGTGCATTGACCAAGTGAGGGATGCTCCAATAAAATGATATCATGATGAGGCTGTACTGAACCCGAGTCCCAGGTTTGCACATCACGCCCATGTGAATTACCAGCCTTGTATTGACGGTCGGATCCAGCTTCATAATATCAATGACACCCGATGCGACAGTCATGGACTTGCAAGCGCTTACCGCTTCATACTTAGTATCTCCTCCGAGTCTGTTTGAATCGGCCGTTGTGAGTCTCTCCCAAGATCAGTGCCTTCAGTAGGTCTGATGACTCTGATCCGTCATGCAGATACATACATGAGGCAGCTACATTGAGCTTGGCTACATTCGGGGGTCCTTGTCCGGCTATGTTCCAATCTCAGGATTGCCAGTGGCCATTAATGGTTGCGAGGCCATGTTTCCCAGCACTGGTTAGCGGAGATTCGGCGGCCAAGGTAGTAACGAACGATCTTTTCGGCAAAGTATCACATAAACTAAATGACGCCGACAAAAACAAACACATCGTGGCTCTCATACGGTCAGCTGTGCTGGCAGTATATAAGTAAAACTTACCGACCTAAACATATCAGGCTATCCTCCCAGTTGTCTCCTCACTTCAACTCACGAATTCTTCACGATTAATCATGTCTGTCAACACTTCTCCCCGTGCTCTTCTCACTTCATGTTTCGTGCTTCTTACCCTTCTCTCTTGCGCATTATGCGCTCCTCTCTCCGCTGTAATGCGGCGTGATGTCTGGGTACCCCCAATCACCTCCCCTACATCTGACTCTACATGGACTGTTGGAGGGTCATTCCTTGTTACCTGGGATACATCCTCGAAACCTGACCAAGTAACCAACCCTAATGGCGAGATATACCTTCGCCTGGGCGATGAAACCCAATCCAGTCCCATCGCATCTGGATTTGCGCTCACTGATGGTCAAATCGAGGTAACAATCCCTACCGGCACCACTCCTGACCAGTATAGGGTTGTATGTGAGTGTCCTGTGTCATGCTATCTTGACTCAATTCAGAGAGTTGACAATTAATCCAGTATTCGGTGACTCTGGGAACTGGAGTGATCAGTTCCCAATTGACGCAGCCACATGAGCTGCGTGCAGAGTTTTCTGTCAATGTGACAATGTCAAACAAGAATCAAAAAAAAAATAGGAGGGAAGAGATGTACGATTTGGATGATTGGTAAACTCGATGATGGACTAAGGCAATGGACTCGAACAATTGGCATCTCATAATTGGACTTTTTTGATTTGGACACTTCAAGTACATTTTACTCTACGCATTTTTCTTTCGTAAAGGTCGTGGTTCTGTTTCTGCCTCACCTTAGCCTTACTTAGTGTACTAGTACGTTAGCTGTACGGTAGTTGATGTAAAGGTTGCTCCTCTGTATCCACACCATCTATCTCGTTTCAGGTTTTCAGCTAGGTGTCAAAAGTGCGAGTACTAAGCAAAGTACTTGCATGCTTGGTAGATGTCGATCGTGGCCAGGCGCCAGGCTTTGTAGGGTCACAATTGATCACTGCCATCAAAGCTTTTTGAACTTGCGTGATTGATCTGTCGACCGAACTCCAATCGCTAAGCGCAAGATGTCATGGTCATTTTCCACAATGTCACCGCTTCCGAACGCCAGCGATCCACGACTATTGTCCGGGTCCCTGCTATCACCCGAACCATTCGACTCGCCTTCTTATACGGGCCCTGGGGGCGCCGATCTTTCCCTCTCAGAGCTCTCACTTTCAGACAAAGACACAGAACATTTTCATCTTCATGACAAACCACGTTTCAGTCTACTGGCGCCAACTGCTACAACATCACAGACATTATTCTCGCCTGATCACAGCAGAATATCAGAGGACGACGAATATGAAGAAGAAAACGATGAGGGCTCTGAAAACGATGCTGATACGACTATGATAGGAAGGGTTGCTGCTGCGAAGGCACGGGAAGACAAGCTTCATAGCGATCTCTTCGTTCTCAAGAAGCTGAACGCGTCCTTTGCGTTATTTAACGACGCGTTGCGGTCTACTCAGACTGCCACTGAGGTGTGTACTACTGCTGAGCATGGAATCGGCTAATGATCCTCGTGTCTTGTGTCTGCTGATTCGCTTGTGCAGCAAGTGACAATTCAACTCGCACAGACGGATGCGCTTCTAGATAAATATGTCAACATGCTTGGGAAGTCGGAAGCTGTGGCTAAGCTGATTTTTGATGAACAATGGGAAGGTGCAGAGGCTGTAAGCTATATTTCCTTTGCCTAGTTCTTTTCCTGGAATCTCCCCATGCCATAGTTCGGCTCGCGACGCATTTCTCTTCCAATTCTCTGTGACTTTTCGTGGCTGATAACGCTTAATTCAAGGATGAGGAGTTACTTGAGCAAGAGCGACAGCAGGCTCTTGAACAGGCTCAACTAGAAAAGGAACGCCTTGAGCGGGAAGAGGCAGAACGGAGGGAATCAGAAAAGCGTGCGCGCGCGGCTGCAGAGGAAGCTGCTCGTCGTGAAGCAGAAGAACGTACACAACGCGAAGCTGCAGCTACAAAAGCACCCCGTGGCCGCGGTACCGGTGGGTCAAGTGGAGTCCGGGGCATTCGTGGGACAAGAGCCACATCGGCAGCTGCAGCTGCAAGAAGTACCAAAGGCATTCCTCGTGCAGGTATGGGAATATGTCACTTGAGCAACGACCAGATATTGATTTTTGCGCATGTAATACCAGCCTCGACGAGTGCCGCATCGGCTATCCCTCGCAGTCGCTCGACTAGTGCTACTGGAAACGTCGGAAGCTTAGGCGGTGGAACAAGACTTGGATCATCTGCAAGCCGAGGAACAGGTTTGCCGCGAGGCGTACCTAGGAGAGGTTGAGTCACAGTTCCTGTGTCCTATGCATAGGCAGGCTGTTCAAGAAAACTCGCGGCTACTGCACAATGCCAGGATTAATAACCGGCAAGAAGCATGCTGTACCATGAACTCGCCGTCGCGATATTCGCTTGGCTGTCTGTCGCAAGGCATCCTCATTTGAAGCCACAGCCACTTTGCCGCCCGGAAGTCGTGTATCTCCAGATGCAAGCGACCATAACTCGCGTCATATTGAAGAATCCGTGACAGTAACCTGAGTATTGTTCCAATGACAGTAGGAAGCATCAATTTCATTCACGTATAGAATACTTGCAGAGTTAGGGATATTCCATTGATTCTATCCCATATACTGTTTCTTCGAATTCTGGTGTAATCGGTGCCCCACACATTCACAAAACTCATATTTCTAGCTGATATTCCCGCTATCGTTAGGGAGTGGGTCAGAGGCCGTGTTGATCGATGGGTCCAGGCCCTCGGGCTTATCGCCAGATTGGATTTTGATTTCTCGGCCGTCGTTCATGCGTCTTTATCGTAACGGTGGAGTGCCTGATTCCCGATTCCAAATCACTCGGCGTGTTCTCGGTCTTAATTTCACCATCATCCACAAGCTCAAACTAGTACACCACATACAACAGGTTGAGCCCGCCCCAGAAACGTTGAATAGGGTTAGGGTTTGAATGTGGAGCACCGCATCAAGTGCAGCACTAGATGCATATGGCGACATGATAATTTGCGGCGGCAGCTTGCTCAGCGCTGTGAAAACCAGAATCTAGATCCACCACAAAAGCACATATGATGTCGAATAAAGCCTACGGGGCATACCCCAGCAGGATAATGACTCAGAAAAAACCGATCAACAAAACAAAGCCCTCTGGCGAGTCAAGGAGAGAATATCATCCAAGAAATATCGTGACTCGCCAGTTCTCCAGGACAGCCCAAACGCGTTTGTGGCGTGAGACACCCTGCGATCACCTCAACGGATGATTTCGGTTCTCGACCATCATGTTCACCTCGCACCCCTCTGCGCTTTTGACCAAGTACATGAAGAAATATGTGCTTTAAATCCGGGCACCAATATGAAGCCAACTGCCATGCCAGTCAAACAGGCATCAGGAATCAAGATCCTTTAAGCCAGGGGTATCTCGAACAGAACAAGACCGATATAAACAACACTTTGCATCAACAAAACAACCATCACCTTCTGATGGACATGTAGGCTTGAACTGATAGTCTGATCCTCACATCATGCTCGGCTGATCACCACGCTGCGGTGCCTGTCCCTCGCTGGCGAGCCCTGCATCACAGGGGATGGTCGTCCGAATATCGACAGCCTAGACGAAGAATTGATTAGCAATGGGCCCATCGATCAATTACAAGTATCCAAATGGGTTATGAGAATAAATAAATAATCCAGCATAATAGCCGCGGGCACACAGTCGTACCACGGCGAAAAGGTCATACCAGAGCGGCCACTTACTCGGACAGACCTGATGGGATTCTTGTCCCTCGGGCAAATGGAGAACGGACGTCCGATTCGACAGAGTAATTGCTACGCGAAACTTGGGGCATGGAGGAAAATCCTAAAAGAGAATGGAACCCCTGCCTACTTGAGGCATCAGAGACCCGCGCTCCAGGATCTTGTACATTGGACTTTGTGCGAGCCAAGCTCACACTTGATATTGTCGGAGAGACTCCGACATCGGCGTAGCGCGATTGAACCCTGTCATTCATTACTGCGCTACAGGCAGACGCGCTTTCACAGTGTCTATGACAGCAGCCGTTCCCTGGTGGACAGTGCACGACAACAACGCTGCGCTGTTCAGGCCTATCAAGGGAGTAGACTTCTTGAATATGGTAAGGGTACTGCGAGAACGAATGTTGACTGTCGGCGGAAACATAACCGGATGCGCGTGCTTCAGTTGCAGCATCTATGGGTGCTCGACTCTTCCCTTTGTTGGCAAGTCGGTGTCGTGGGAGAGAAGAAATAGATTGCGCGGCGTCTTCTGGATAATTGACGGCCGGTAGACGATCTCGCACAAGGTGCGTTGTAGAACAATGAGGACTCGTCAATTCTGCATCCATCTGGCCATTCTTTCTGCGACCGGAAACACCCCCTGGACGAGGTTTGACATTTGCAGGATCAAATATCCTTGAAGGCGGAATCATGACGCGAGGATCCAAATTCTGACCTTTACGTATCTCTTCGATAGTGGGATACCGCGCTCCCGTCTCGAATGACGCAGGAGCAGTCGCTTGTCGACGTATATTTCGGGGGGATGTTGTTTCCTCTATGGACGTCAGGGATGAGGTGGGGGAAGATTCGACCCTTCTGATATGACTGGGGCGGGATCTCATCAGTAAATGCGACGCTTCATTTACGCAAGAACTTGAAGATGTGTAAGATGTATCCTCCACGGTGACTCGGGGTGACAATCCTCTTTCTGGCTGAAGCCAAGGATCGTCCTGTAGTTCCACGTACTGCGTTACTCCAGTTGGTGGTTCTGGTGACAACACTTGGCGTGGAGAATGGAGAAGGGGCACATCATCCCATAGCGTCTGGCGCGACTGCACATTGACAGTACGAGCGCTGGCAGCACGATCCATTTTGCTCGGAGTCACCGGCTGATATATGTTACCATCCATCTCATTCTTGATTCTAGTGGCAGGAGCTGCCGCAGCGCCTCCATTGGGTCGGACGGCCCTCACTTCACCCCTTTGCAAGGCTCCGAGCCATACTGCAAGAGCTTCCTCGTATGTATCAAAGCTTTGATAAACAGCGCCTGGAACTTTTTTGGTTTGTCCACTGCATTCTATCCTGAAGAGCATATGAGCTTCACAAATTCATAGGGAATTGGCATTGCGCCAACATGTTGCGTCGACGCGTTGAATTTGCAAGAATATAGATTTCAACCTACCAATTGGGATATATACCTGGCTCCAAACCCACGACTACGACATACGATTTCCCCATCAAATGGACTAGAAGTAAATATCAAACAATGAGGTCTTGAAGCTTGAAGGCTTAGAGGCTTAAGGAGATTTGAACACGCAACTATGTAGTAAGAGACTTAGCGAAAGACTCGAACTTCACGACACGATGACGTACATGTTATTATGTAACAAACGCCTAATTAAAACCCTTGAAAATTTTTGGGGTTTTGATGTGTTTCTCCGTGCAATGCCTGGCCAGTGGTCTATGGATGAGCAGATAACCTGAAGTAGAGAAGGCTCGGATAAAGAGACTGGGAGGAGCGAATCCCTGGGACCTGGGTTCAAGCGAGATTACTCGATAAGGAGATGCATACATTGATGACATAACTCAGTGAAAAATCTAGATCTGAGTCAGTCATAAGTTATCTCAGCACACGCCATCTCGTGAAGATGGAATTTGTTCCAGGACCCGCTGTTCATCGTGTGCTCTGTGCTGATTGTGGCAAGTCTTTGATCTTGAAACATTTGCTCTGCTGACCCCCATCATGATCATCAGGAACACCGATTGTCCCAAATTCTGCCAATTTATGTGTGGCATGTCTTCGAAATACGTGAGTATCATCAGGCCACGCAAGATCATGATCTGAGAGTGCTCACATTTGTGTAGCGTAGACATAACCGAGGGCATCCCAAAGCAGTGTGTGTTGTTGCGAACTTTTTGAGCAGCATGATGAACGGTACTGATCACGATGATTAGCCTCGGTCTCATTTTGTAGAAATTGCGAGCGTTTTCTATCGCCCCCTCAATCTTGGACCCTCGCTCGACCAGAATCCCAAGAATTACTGGCGATCTGTTTGAAGAGGCTCAAGGGCTTGAATAAAGTGCGGTTGACGGAAGCTCACTTCATATGGACGGAGCCTCACTCGAAGCGATTACGAGTCTCGCTGACGATTCAGAAGGAGGTATGCACGTCTGTTGGAGAATGCCATATGTTACTCACATGCATCAGGTTCTGACATCGACGATACTAGAACAAATTTTTGAGATCGAATATCTTGTCCAGCACGGACAATGTCCTGACTGCACTAAGCTTGCGGCAAAAAATACGTGGAAGGCACTAGTACAAGTGCGACAGAAAGTGTCCCACAAACGGACATTTTTATACCTCGAGCAGCTGATTTTGAAGCACGGGACACAAAAAGACACGATATCGGTGAAAGAGGTCAGGGATGGCCTCGACTTCTTCTATAGTCAACGAAGTCATGCGATCAAGATGGTCGAGTTCTTAGCAGGGGTTGTACCAGTGCGGTAAGTTGCGTCGCGACGGCTCGTATTTTTGTTCTCATCACTCGCAGATCGAAAGGTTCCGAGCAGTTGCTCTCCACAGACACTCATTCGGGCACTGCAAACTATAAATTCACCTACTCTGTCGAGATTGTCCCTATTTGCAAGGATGACCTTGTCTGCATTCCTCCAAAACAGGCCCGGCAGCTGAGCAACATAAGCCCGCTCACTATTTGTACTCGGGTCGGCAACTCTTTCCAGCTCTTAGATCCCGCAACACTGCAAAGTTGTGAGATATCAGCGCCGGTTTACTGGAGGGCACCCTTCATCTCTCTGGCGACGGTGACAGATTTGGTTGAGTTTACGATCTTGGACATCGAGCCCTCAGGCGCCGTCCGTGGCAAATGGGTCTCCGCCGACGCGCAGGTAGCAATGTCGGGTGCATTCAAATCACATGGATCCTACGGTGACCAAGATACGATCATGGATCACGAGAACTCTAGTGTTTCAACCCAGATCTTCCACACGCGGACACATCTAGGCGCTATCCTGCAGCCCGGCGACACGGCGCTCGGATATCATCTCAGCCACGCCAACTTCAATTCAGACGACTTCTCATCCCTTCCTTCATCCCGCATCCCGGATATCATACTCGTGAAGAAAACGTACCCGAACCGAAGAAAGAAAAATAAATCGAGAAATTGGAAGCTGCGGAGTATTGCGAAAGAAGCTGGAGAGGAGGGTGAAACTGGGGCCGGGCGGGGTGTTGTTGGGCGTATGGGCGGACGAGATCAGAAGAAGGTGGAAGAGGATTATGAGCGGTTTTTGCAGGACCTCGAAGAAGACCCTGAGCTACGTGGGACAGTCAATCTTTACGCGGCCAAGGATACGAAAATGCGTGATGCCACTGATGGAGCACGGAAGAAAGGCGGCCAATATGGAATGGACGTTGATGAAGTGGATACGAGCAACACTACTGTAGTGGATGAAGACGAACAGGATGCAGAGGAGGAACCTGACTTCCCCGCCGTGAAACTGGAAGAATTATTAGAGGAATTCGACGAGATGACGCTTGGAGATTCAGAGAGCCCATGATTTTTAGGATCTAGGTGTGACCTTGTCAAGCACACTCAAATATTATAATATGTGGATTTCGGCTGCTCTTTTCTTCCCCGGCGTTCCCTAAGTGTCGGTTTTTCCTTTTAAAAAAGACGTCGGACATACACCAGGGTGTTAACTCCATCAAGCATATAAAATCGTTGGAACAATATGGACTCGCATAGTCGCTTTTAATTTGTGGGGAAGAAGTACGAGAACTTGATGCGGTGGCATATCAAGGGAAATAAATCCAGTTCAACCTCCTCCTTAACAGCTATTAATTCTTGGTGAGAAGACCCATGAATTACAATGGACGTCGATGTAGCGGTCGAACCATGTAATGAGGAAAAGATATACAAGGCTCACCAAAGCCCGAGAGCATGATACTGCGAGATTCATTCCGCCTATAGCCACCGGCGAAAAGCTGTACCAGACGGATGGACATCATGATATAGTGGCCTGGTCAGTTGCAAATAAGTACGCAGTAACGCCCTGCTGCCAGTTCGACAAGGAAAATGCCCAGATAGATACAGCGACAGCAGCAACCAGAAGAGTTGATTTAATCAAGTCTGGTAGCGAGTATGCATCTGACACACGAGATGCGGATGCTCCTGACCACACCGCCTTGTTAATCCCTGGGGGTCGTAATCAAACTCGAAACGTGATGCGCATGAAGCACGCTTTCGCCGTATACCAAAAGAACACAGACGCCTTCTTTGGCCATGAATGCATGACCAGCAAGGGAGACGATGTCGTTATTTCTGTGGGGTGTTGTGTTTTCATGTCCCAGAGTTGTGGATTCGATTTACAAATTCAAATTAGGTTGCAGAGTTGACTTCAGCTGAGGAACAACGCACCTTGAATAAATTCGTCATCAGTACCATTGTACTGGCACAATCCATAGATGGGGTAGAACGGAAGCACTGAAAGTTTGCGAGGGCCCACGTTTAACGTTCAACGTCGTTGGCAGTTGCAACATTGAGCGCCCGGTCAGCCCGAGCGGTAAATATTTGCACCTGCCATATTTGGTTCGCCTACGTACGCCACAACTGGCAGCACACCGTGACAGGATCTATGATGGCCGCCTACTGATCATTCTGGTATCTAGTGATGCTTCAATTTGCATGGCAGTCCTTGGACTGAAATCACGGGAATCGAGAGCAACTGCCGAGCCACCGAGTATCGATTATCCATCATGGATTTAGTACGACTGAAGTGGCACGATGGGACGAGCTGAGCTGTATCGTGGCATCTCCAGAACCAATGCTTTTCTCGAATGCGGGGAAGATTACAACTGAGCATGCTTTCTAGGAAAGTGACCCTCATTTTCTTGAATGAATAGGGTTTGAACATTGTTGTGACACCTGCTACAGGTCCTGGAAAATTAGCTGGGATAGGGCCCGAGTTCCAACACGCGCTTCGTGGTACGCGCAATAACGAAGCATGGACGCTTGCGCTACATGCAGATCTCCTCCGATCTGGCCTAGTTCAGAGGTATGCACCTTGTCTCTGTCGCCTTCCCAAACATTGCAGGAGTCTCAACCCTTACTGGATCTATCTATAACGCTAGCGAGCAAGCAATTCCCAGATGCAGCAAACTCACTTTCACAACATTTTGGGATGCGCTAAGAACCATTTCCGAATCACTCTTTCGAGTTGGCCCATAAGCAAGCTGTCTAGGTCATTTCGAACACGTACATGGGCTTGCTGGCTCGGCCCAAGCCAGGAGACGGCTAGAAATGGTGTTGTGTGAACTCGTGCTGTTTCCATGGTGAACATATACTTCTTGTCAACCCTCGATGACGATTATCAGGTATCAGTCAGGTGAGGAACCAAAATATCCTCGAATGGAATACAAGGTACAAGGTACAAGGACTCCTATGTTCCTGTCCCCGCGGGATCTAATGAGTTTTGTCACCTTCAGAGACCTTGAAATTCCGAATACAAATTTTGGAGCAAACTTCGTGGAACTTAATCTTGGAGCACATGTGTCATGTGCGACGCGCTACACATGGACTTCCGATCTGCCATGTCTGCGATAACTGATCTTACGAAATGCCATGTAATAGTGGCGGTCGCGATGCCTCGTTTTTCGGCAGCGGTCATGTCTTCGAATGCATCGTGCGCTATTATTACAATCGGCTGCTTCTTAACGTCAAGGGTTTTCCTCTGCTGAAGTGAACTCCACATCGCATAGTGATCCTCACTTCTTGCACCATATAGTTCAGACTGTCTACTCAGGGTTCAGCACACTCGGACAATGTATATGCGACCTCTTTTTTCCCCCCGGTGATCGCGCCAAATATTAAGCCCCACTCCCGAGCAGGCCCGAGTTCGGTGGTAGCGCGAGGGAATAAACCGGAGCTACCCTCTTTTTGCCCTTTCCCATCCTCGTCGGGGACTCGTGACCTCAAGAGAGTTTAAATACACGTGCCCTATCTTCCATTCCGCACTTGCCTGATGCGTTTGGGAACCTTTACGATCTCTTACGATTATTACGATTCACGCTAGCATGTATCATGACCCGATATGAAAGGTCAGGTGCGCATCGAATGCCGTCATTCTATCATGAAGTCCTCGTGCGTCATGATTTATGATCATTCAAATCTCCAAGCTGGACTATGTAATTGTAGCAATCTATGAAAATTCTCTGTTGCGCTGGCAAAGAGAAGTGTTCTAAGTACATGTAGATAGGTATAACTATACACAAAGCAAGTGGGTATGACGGAAGTGTGGAAGTATGTATCGCAAAATGAGATGAGATGTTACAAGTTGTTACACAGAAAAGTTCCGCGCGCGTTGGGTCGTTAAAAATACATCATTTGGTTACTTAACGGAAACCAAGGAAAAACAGTGCACTCGTGATCAGAAGGCCGATAATGATGACATGAAAGCGGAAAATTCCATATCCACGCTGGCAAGCTCCAGTTTCCCCGGCTCGAATAAAGAAAATTGATTTTTCGAGAAGAAATCTTCATTCGAGAACGACGAGGAGCCCAAATTTTCGGGGTGACTGAATGTGTTGAAAGCGTCTGGGAAACCCCCATTGCAAGGAAGGGGATATGAGTTATTGAAGGAAAATGAACCGGTCGTATACGGATCGTCGTTTTCTGCACACAATGTGTCGAAAGAAGGATTGAGGGAGAAATGAGGAGTGACAGGAGAGTTACAGTAGGGCGATGAAGCTTGCGACCAGTCACAACTGCCCTGTGTGGTGTCGATAACTAATGAAGGCGTTTGAACCCGCGTCTCGCACGGTGAAGGAGAAAAGTCAGGGAAAGTTGAACCGGCAGACGCCATCGAATTGCCGAACGCTACGTCAAACATGAAAGGATCAAATTCCTACAGAGAAAAAATGTCAACGGAGTAGAGCCGAATAGTCCGGCACGGCTCACCAATGAAGGTTGTGGTTTCGCAGGGAAAGAATAATCTGATGAAATAAATGAAGAGGATGCCGACATATCAAGACAGTGCTCTGACGCCAAACCATCGGGTCTCGGCGGAAGATCGTCACATTGGGATTTCCAGGTTGACGAAAGGGAAGGATGGCTGCTTGTGGAACGTACTACACGGCGTGGCGCGGGCGAGCATGAAAGGAATGGCTTCTTCGTTTCCGGGTTGTCGATGGGAGCGGATGAAGATCGGCGATATGCCCTAGCAGTTATGGGAGCCTCGAAACGTGTAACAACCTCAGGGACGTGGGTGCGGTCGAATTCTTGAATTGCATGTTCGAGCTCCTGGCCCTTTTTGCCCTCTACAAGGAGCTCAGCAATTTTCGCGCAACGCTTCATGTCCTTCGGCTCGACTTCCCGAACTTTGCGCTTCTCGGTCCCACCCTTTGCTTTTGTATGGGAAGGGCGAAAAGCATACTGTGGCCACTTCCGCCTATGATCCTCCAATGCCTTCTTTGCCTTTGCGTGCCAGATCTGACGCTCGTCATGGGGCATATTCTGCCACGTAAGACCTATTATCTTTGAAAGTGTGCTGTGGTTAGTTTCTACTCCTGTGGATACATGCTGGCTTTTGATGAATGATGAGCGGAAGAGGATGAAGGCGTTAGGGGGACGGGGGATATGATCGTCGGGCCGCTTTTTGCTATGTGTGGGCCGACGGGACGAACATTCCGCGGTAGGAGTGGGAAAGAGCACAGGTTCGAATGTAGTTTCAACAGTGTGAGGTGATTCGTTAAAAGTGATGGGCGTTACGTTGGGTGCAAATGCAATGCTCTGAGGAGACGCAGGCTCAAGCGGAAGGGTCCAAGTTAATTGGGCGCCTAGTAATATAGAGTAAGTCATCATCAGCATATTTGTGCGTTGAACGTTATACATACCATCTGAAGACTCGCGCTTCAATGAGCCACGGGATCGCTCAGCAGGCATTGTTTAGGGACACGGAGGGAGGTATCGCTGAAGGAAAAAAGATGATGTGTGAGCAAAGAGCGGGTGTACCGATAAAGAGGGCACGAGGCTGATTTCTCGGATGGGAACTTTATATGTGAAGGATATACGTACACGGCAATTTCAGGGTAAAGCCCACGGGCGTTTCTCAAATGAACGTCGGCATAACAGAGGCTATAGAAGGTTTATATAAGTGGTAGAGTCTGCAGACAAGGCTTCTAACCTAGCGCGGGCACGGGAATCAATGTTTTAGGCAGCTGTAACCCGAACAAAGAGATCGTTTCATCAAAGGATCCCATCTTTGGACCACTTAGCCGCATCATAACTCCTTATCGTCCTCACGCAAATTTTTGGTTCAACCTCCATGTAGTCGGGACACTCGGCTTCCTCTTCTCTATTCCCAACAGGAATAATTATTTTTTACAACTACAGGTGCATTGGCTTGATTCTAATTTCCTAGGTCGTACCTGGCCGAATCGTAGAATGATCAGCGCTCGTTGTCATCATGATATGTCGGTCCGATCTCATTCATGTCCTTTTTCGTGTGAAGCAGGCTTCTGAGCATCAGCGCTGCAGCCCTGGCACACTGGTTCCATCAGTGGACCGTCAAGCATCTACATTTTCAAGTTCGACATTGTTTACACGCTAGCACGAGCACCTTGAACCTTAAACACCTCGGTGACTTGTACTTTCACTGCCTCACTAGTATTCATTGACCGGTCCATGTGATGCATTGGCGGCGTGATTCGGAACTCGTCGCCAAGACTTGTTTTATTGTTGCCTCAGCTCTCTTATCTTTGGGTTGCGACCAATTCGAACAAGGACATCCCCGCAGCCGCTGAGGTTGATTTGATGGGTCCCTTCCAACCAAGTGCTGCATCGATGACTCTTGTACTGAGCCAACCGATCGCGGATTGAAAACGAGGGCTAGTACTTACAAAGTGGCGCAATGAGTTGTCCCCCAGTTATCACCCCCGCACACGTCGGTGACCGCGGTGTGTCTCCTGGACCCACATGTCGTCAGTTTGGCCAGTATGAATACAGTATGATACAAGGCGCTGTCTACGGAGGGCGCATCACCGTGAACTCACTTAAGATTCGAAACAGAGAAGCTTGCTAAGAACAAGCTGTGTAGATCGAATTCCTAGCTGTGAGAGCATCTGCTCCAGATAGGTAGAAGCTGATGAAGGTCATCACTCAATCAGATCACGATGAAAGTGGCTGTGGTCATGATTTTCGCACTACTGTCACGTAACTCCTGCACCTGAGCTCGGAAATGAAATGGGCTCTATACTACATCGCAGCTCGGACGAATATTATTATCAAAGTTCATCGCGAATGCTCGTACGCCATTGAGCTCCGCTAAGACATCTTCTGGTGATAGAAGCCAGGAATTACACGTGGAAGCGAACGATAATAGCCTCCCAAGAGTGAGGGAGGAGGAATATAATCGTCCGATAATTCCTTGTTGTCGCTTTGCGAAGACTCATCCTCAACTTGCGATTCATCAGCCGTGCTTGAACTTGCAGCTGATTCCTGGAACGACCCCGAGTGAGAGAGTTCTTGTTCATCAAGATGCGACATCGAAGCGACGGGCTCTGCTACAGAATTGAATTCATTCCTGGCAGGCCTATCACGGACCAAGCGAAGGCCTGCCATCGTGACACTTGTGATCATGCATGAACAGCTCATAAAATGATCGGTACCTTTGCGGCGTTTTTGTGGGGGCTGAGCAGCGATATCATCATTACTGGGCGAGGATACGACCTCTGCCTTCTTTTTCCCGGAAACACGTTTTGCCCTGATCTTGTGGGGCAATTCGTCCAAAGGCGTATTGTCATCCGAATCTGAGTCCGACTCCGACTCCGAGGCTTGAGAGACAGCCGCACTCGCGCAAGAAGGCTGCTCTGGACTTGATCCGTCTGGGTCACCGGTTGTATTGACTTCCGAATCATCATATATCTCTTCACCCTGGAAATCATCAAATCCGTGGTCGTCGTTGCTATCGTCTGATTGGGAACCACTATCTTCTTGGGAATCTTCATCTTCCCCCTCACCATCGTCGACTACAAAGTCATCCCGCTCATATTCATCACCTGGCTCCACAGACCCATGGTCGTCCCAATGTCCCAGAAGTTCCCCTACGGGGTTTTCCACATTTGCAGGTTTTCTTCTGCGGTATGGCCGTCGGTGGCTCGCGAGATGCGCTTCGTACCTCCGAACTAGGTCTTTAAATTTGTAATACTTGGAATAGGAGTGATTACCGAATGTCAGACGCCGTCGGGGAAACCGTGACTCACCCACTTAAAGTTGTTATGCTCTGGTCTCAGACAAAATTCAATGAAACCACGCCGCTTGTAGGCCGAGCTGAGTGGGTACCCCCGGCACTGCTGCCCAAACCAGATGTCAACTGAGCCTGGTGATTTGTTTTGGTATACCTGGTCCAGGTAACGACGATGTGCTTCCACCAGGCTTTGGTACTGCGGCAATGATATATATAAACATGAACATGACAAGAGAATCGACTTACCCAGGGATTATTAGAAAACGAAGGGCGGATAACAGACCAAATGTAATCTTCTGGTACTTCATCAAGTCTTTTGTTTTGATGTTTTCCGAAGGATAAGGTGTAGGCTTCAGGAGTTTGGAGAAGTTGTTCTTCATATCGATCATTGGCCTCTTTTAAATCTGCATACTACAATTATTCTCAGTGATAGTCATATCTACCACACTGAGTTCTTACCCAGTGGAAATGTTGACATTCGGCTCCTGTCGCCCACAACCTGTAGTGGGTGGGGATGGAATCGAGTCGTTCACCAGCGTGTTTACCAAACCCAAGAACATATGCTCCTGGATCGTTGTCAAGTTCTTCGTCGTCTACTGGATTTGTATGCACCATAGTGGTAGTCTGAGTGAAGATGCGACATATTCGTTCTGTGATCCATGTTACGACGGGCACGTGATAAAGTTGGTTTCATTGCTTTTACCACAGGCGCGAGTTCACGTGATCTCGCTGACAAATTCTACTCCTGAGTCCTGCTCCAAACCGGCCAGACAAAACTCAAAATCAGGGTATCCATCCTTCCTCAGGCCTCATGGGCGCCATGGCGCGCTACACTATCGAGCAGACGCAGCTCACAGCGAGCAATGGGAAGATAAAACCGACTAAGGGCAAAGACAGGGATAGCTTTGGAGGAAATTGGTTTGGTGGACGGTTGATGTGAGGGTTGTGCAGTCCTTTGGTGTCGACTACACTTTCCCGTCGCCGTAATGGACCGTGAGTTGACCCATTGATATCAACACGCATCACTTGTTGCAGGATGAATTACATTACCATATTGATTGGAGCCTGAACTGGCCATTATCAACCCCGCTGCGCTTGCGCCACCCGGTGAGTGCATACTGTACTGGAAAGAAACCTCGTTGATGAAGTTTGTCTGTGTGAACGGAACGGACCTTGTTACATATTTTATGTAATTAAATTTAGTAAATGTGATCACATAGGAAGATGTTAGTCTAGGGCTGATATATTTCGGCGGAGGGCGCATCCAAGACTTTGGGCATCGATAAGAGCGCCATCAGCGCACATGATCCCGACGCCTGCCTAATATGGCATAACCTCCCGCCCCTATCCAATTATGGAAACCCCGCCCAGCGTCAATCAATGAACCTTGAATTCTAACCATATACGATCATGTTCGCTGTCGACTCCCGCCCATAACTTCCGTATCCTACTCACGATAACAACCATAAGCGCTCAAGTAACTTCCCGACGAACACCCCCAGTACGCTATATAAGACAGCGTAAGATGGTCGTCGACTCACTGCGCTTTCATCTCCAATCCCGCCCCTCTCCCCTTCTGCCTGACTAAACGATGCATTACCGTATGGGCTCCTCTTCCTCTTCACATAGCCACAAGTCTTGGGGGTCAACATCTGACCGTTCAAGTTGGTCGGCATCCCCGGCACCCCCAGCGCCCACCCCAAACACGCCATATCTGCATCCAGTATCGCTCCCGATACCATCTATAAACGCACCCCACCTTCATACGGTGTCCCTCCCTCACCCTAATGCACATCTGCACCAACCCCCTGTGCCGCGTGCGTGTTTCTTCTTTTCATTAATATGTTGCCCAGATCTCATATATTGCTTCTTAGACCAACATTCTTCTACAACCCACTCTTCCATGATAGTCTTACACCCCCTCTTGAGTCGTGGTCCAAATATAATGTTTAACGTCATGCTAGACCTAGCATATGTGCAACTGCGACCAGACTGTCCGCCTACCAGGATTTGGGAGTTTGCGCTACAACCAAAAGTCTCTCGTATGACCATTACTATTCCAGAGCTCCCTGCTTGGATAATAGAAGTTGTAAACACCCATGGCATCACCGTGAATGACGTCTTGCTCAAGATACGGGAAACCCTCAACCAAGGTGTTACATCACACGAGATGCAGATGCACAGACCTTCCCACGCAGTTGGTGCCGCTATCGAGTCTTTTAGGGCTAGGTCCCGTGCAGACCAGCGCGAACACGTGCTGGGCGTAAAACGTTTTGACTTTTTGGGCCCAAAAGTCTTCTTCGTTGGCCTCACTAGAGCTCGAGACGGCTCGGATAGCTGGAATATCCACTTGTCTCAGAATGTTTGATTATTGCCTTGCGCGGGTCGCATTGGCTCGTCACTTGTCATCTCTCAAGATCTCAGTATATCGTACTCGCCTCCAACGGACTACAATCGGACTTCATCACTGCCAGCTCTTCCTTGACTTTCAAGTTGTATTATCGTTGGCACCACGACTCATTCACATATTCATCGCTATCATGGACTACAATCAGACTTCGTCACTACCAGTTCTTATTTCACTTTGTATCATCATCACAACTCACTTCTGCACATCTATCCCCTACTCACATTTTTATCACTATCTTGCTATATCTCCCACTGCAATGCTTTCGATGTACCGGAACGGACTAGTCACGTATACTTTGCAACCCCACAATGCAATGTATTTGTATCATGTCTGTGATAGGTTTTTCAATCCTAAAGCAGTCGGTGAACATAAATCGAGTGGAGCGAATTCTTGTTTCGCTAGAAAGTTGACCACGAGTTCATATTACTGTCTATTGAGGCACCTGAGTCATGCCTGAGTAACAGCAGCAACTAGACTTGAGCTAGACCCAGAACAAACGTTAGCACGTATCAGTCCCAACCATGCCTGCGCTAATCACAGAAAACGTTCAGAAGTGAGGGATAATAGCGGCCGCCAGCAGATATGTCCATTGATAGCTTCCAGTGCCTGGTCATACCTGCGGACCACAAGCACACGTCCGAGGAGCAGCTGTTGCTTGATGGGCCTACTAGCCCCCAAAAAGGCGCCTGAGCTATATCAGGCCTCAAAGTCAGTGGCGTTACAGCAAAGGCTAGATTGAAACCCGACGAGCCCAGTGGTCACTCATTGAGACAGTTCAGCTGCGCCTGTTCGCAGCAGCATTGCTAAAATTTAACTAGATTTCGTGGATTTCATCTGGATCGATTTCAGAAGGACATTACATCTTTAATCACCTCCCACCTCCATTCTGTTTCCAGCGCTAGGGTAATTTAGTAAAAAAAGGCATGCACCATGTCTATATCCTTGAACAGGATCATGTCCCAGAAACAGAACGTGATCATCATACGGCAATATACCCCCCACGAGTCGACCGTTGTGGTCGAACCGTTGAACATAGATGAGACACAACATCTTGCAACATGTATGGCACCTCGCGCCAGAAATCTCGATGTCTACGCGGGCGTTAGGCCTTGCTCCAGAGAAAGAATCGTGATGCACTCACGGTATAAGATCCACGCCGCGAGCACCATATGTGGAATAGTTGTAGTATGCGCCTAGTACGATATACGCTGCAAATGCCAGAAGGAGGCTAGGAAATCAGGAGTCAGTCGTATTCCTTATGTATCAACATTATACCACTCACACAAGGAAGAAAAACCCAAGCCCACTGCCTCTCGTCGCTGGTTTCGTATCGCTCTCTTCACCGCCTTCATCCGTAGGTGTGTCGTCATCCTCTTGTGGTGGGGTTTGTGAAGGAGGTTGATCATCCGGTAAACCACACGCTGAGGGTGTACTCCAATCGACACGTACAACTCCGTTCTCATATGAGACGAATGTGGGTTCTGCTTTAGGGTCTGCATCGTCGGCACAAAAGAGAGAGAAATTGATCGACTGGGGATCATCAGACGAGGTGGGGTATGGGGGTCCGCGAAATGTCAAGGAGAGACCTTTCGGTGCTGTCACATTTGTTAAGTATGCATAACAAAACATAAAATAGAAACACCACATACAATCAAGTTGTGAATATTCTGGCTCAAGGGCAGACGTCGACGCGACAGGTATGATAGCAATCACCCGGTCTGTAAGCTCGGTCTTCTGGTTGATCTTCCTCAAACATGCCCTTGTCCCAGTCTGACACTGCGGTTTACATTAACATTGACAGTGCTGGGTAATCACGAATTGGACTTGCCTGTTCATCTTCTGGCACACCATGCATTAGCTTCAAGTTCTTGCACAAATTAAATCTGAGCTCATCCACCATAGTGGTGGGCGGCGATTCTCGTGTCCTAGACACTTTGTGCGAGCCCTTCAGCGACGTTAGGTCCCATTTCAACCCTCCAGTCGACACATGGCAATCAAAGTCTTCTGCTGTTACAAGAACTGTGGAGGATAATAAAACAAGTAAGGATAACAGATTGAAAGGTAATGACTGAGGTATGAAGTGCTGGAAAATCATGGCTATATATGCGGACCCGGGGAAAGATGATGAGCTAGGGCAAACGGCGAACAAGTCGCAAGTAGTATTTGAATTACGTAAGACACGCGTGCGCGTCCCTTAAATGACACTTCCACTTGGGCAGCTACATCGCTTACCATCCACTGAACTAGCAAGTCTATAGGAAATCGAATCCAACATGGAAGGGCTGGAACCACTTGTTCACATGATATACCACGAGAGGCAGCAAGAAGGATCAAATCTTTGTGCGCAGCATGCCCTCAATTCACTACTTCGTATGTACCCCATCTATTGCTCGATGTTAGTGTTCACCGGCTTTCATTCACCATTTCCAGAGGGAAACTATGTTGGTATCCTTCTTTAAATTGCAAATTGTATGCTCACCTGTGTGATCGCCATAGTTCACAGCGCCCGATCTCTCTCAATTCGCTCGGAAGTTGGACATACTGGAAGAGTCATCGCGTTATGACGACGCCAATCGAGCACGTACTAGTACCAATATGGATGATACAGGCATTTTGTTTCGTATTTTCAGCTGGATGAAGCGTTAATGATTCCTCAGGATTCTTCTCCGTGCAGGTGTTAGAAGAGGCACTTAATGTCTGGAATCTCAGGTTTGTCCAATTGACGTTTCATATCTGGTGCATTACCTTATAATATCCATTTAAGCCTCGTTCGATGGCGCTCTGAAGCTATGAAGCCATATCAGAATGAGCCGCAGTACGTCCGTCCACCATGAGTGATCATCTCTCGTTCCTCATCATATCGTCATCCCACAAGTAATCAAATCGCATTCGTACTCAACCAGAATCAACACTGGTACACGTTGCGACGATTTGGAGATCTCTCTATTCCAGGTGATGGACACTGGTTCAACCTCGATTCTACCAAACGTCAGCCACTATGGATCAGCAAACTCTACCTTGGCATGTTCCTGCAACAAGCTGAGAGTGACGGATACTCTATCTTTACAGTCACACAGATCGATCCAGATGCACCCTCTCAAATTCCCCACACAGACGCAGACGATATCGCATCTACTCTTCCAGATCCTACCTCGGCTTCATCGTCACCCCGGGATGACATGGAGTCTGGCTTCGAGAACGAAGATATGGAGCTGCAAGCAGCCTTGCAAGCATCACTGGCTGGGGCTGGAGAAATCGGCGGTTCATGGACTATGCCGATTACCTACCCTCCCGCACAGAGTAGTCTATTCGCCTCTGATATTCGTGGATCGGGTTCGACGAGAGGAGTTATGCCAGGCATTCCTCCCAACCAAGACCCGTACGGAAACTCTGACGTTGACCCAATTACTGCTTCCATGGAACGTGATCGTGTGCTCATGGAGCGCATGCGACATGAACAAGAATTGGGGTTTAGACAGCAGTATGAGGAAGAGGCTGCAAGGTTTGGAAGTCGGCAGCCGCCGTACGGATCACAAGCAGAAGATGGTAATGAAGACGAACATCTCCGTCGTGCAATTGCGGATTCGCTAGCAGAGCGGCACGACAAAGGAGAACTGGATGATGAAGATTCCGAAGATTCGGACTACACACCTCCTACCCAAGCAATACCATATAGCAGGGGACACCTGAACCGAGTTTACGATGACGACGATGCCAACTTCCAGGCTGCGCTAAGAGCATCACTGGAGCATGTGTCATCTGAATTCATTCCTCTTCCGGTACAACCACTTCAGACACGACAAGCATCTCCGCCTCCCATCTCAGCAGCTGTTGAGGATGACCAGATTGACGATCAATCTGAAGCGGATACTAGTACGATTGTATCTGAACCGGAAGCACCGAGAGAGTCCGTCAGTATGGAAGAGATGCGCAGAAGAAGGTTGGCAAGATTCGGTGGTTGAAACGTTGGCCAACAATAGTTCAAGCTCAAATGCGTTGTGATAAAGATCACAATTATCCCGACATATAATACAGTATATGAGACGCTCGTATTGAAAGGACTGAACTACTTCGTCTCCGAATCACCCATGCCCGTGGCGTGCTTGGCCTTCTCCATCAAAGACTCCTACGAAATTTTATCAGTCACAAATTAATAAAATGACTGTTCGACCTCAGCTCACCTGCCCTTCGTTGGAGTTTCCGCTCATGGTGTCACCGACCTTCTGGGTGGTGGATTTCTCGCTCTGGGATCAAAGCGTCAGCGTCAATCAAAACCTTTAATCGAGTTAGGGGCTAACCTGCGGTTGGAGAGTAGAAGCGACCGAGTCGGACATTCCTTTCATCTTGTCACCAACTTCCTCGGTCATCGACTTCTGGGAGTCGGGCTAAGACAAGGTCAGGCGCGAGAATAAATTCCAAGGGGAAACATGTTCAGACCTTCACAGAAGAAGCAGCCTTGTCGGTCATAGATTGACGTCCAGTGTCAGCCATTGTGATGATGATGATATTGATTGTGAGTTTAAGTTGATATGTGGGTGTGTGTGGACAGAAGATGTTGGGGAAGAAAAGCGAATATCCTCGACCTTATATACCCTTTGAAAGTAACGGGAAAGCTGTGCATGCCTGACGCCGGTATGACGTTTGTCATATTGTGGAGAGAGATTCTGCCTTATTTGGCGAGTGGTGTGCGTTACCGCTGAACTCGCGTTGACACATTGCGTCAGTACTAATTCCTATATGAATCCTATCAGCTTTTAGATTGCACATAGGGTGTTAGACCATTTTATTCTATCAGGCATTCTTTGTCTAGTGTCGACCAAGAGACTTCCAGCCCTGAATCAGTGAGATCAGTGCTGGTTGGCGGTGGGTCAGTAGACGCACTAGCAATATAGAACGGTTCTCTTCGGGAATACAGCGTAGGTCAACAGGGCTACAACGTACAAAGTTCGGGATCTATGGTGTGTATACAACTTGATCGCAGTGGAAAATAAATATGGGTAAATATCCAAAGGGTCATAGCGAATGGTCAACAGTCGCAGACATAGACGGGTCTGTAGCATCATCATCATTTTCCTCAAGCTCACGGTGTCGCCGACGTGCAGATCGTAAATAGCGAGAGAAGCGATTTTGTTGGTTCGAGGGTGCTTGGCTGATACGCCGGTTGGAAGGAAATGCAGAAAGAGTATCATGATCACCCGCGTACCCTGACAACATCGCTTCAAGAGCGTGAAAGTCTGTCGCCCGTTAGTAAGAGGTTATCTCGAGCTCGCAAGGTATGATTCACCTTGTCGACATAATGGGCAAGAACTCGAAAGCTCTAAAAGCCATGGATCAACACACGTCTGATGGAAACGATGTTTTCCTTCGCAGGGCAATACCCTTAGTTCATCACCCTCTTCGAAGTCAACGATGCAGATGGGACATGTCTCACGTCCGATTGCCTCTGGCATCAGCGGATCGACATCCCGTGCTGAGGATGGTGGCGCTTCGGAAGTAGCAGGCAGTCGTGGAGGCGTCAACCGAGGTACAGCTCGTGCATCGGACTGCTCATCCTCCTGACCATGCACGCTTGTGGTGGCGCCAGTAGTAGAAATGTATCTCTCAGTAATCCTTCCCACTGATTGTAATGGTTGCTGGACCGCCTGACTGGAGATAGTGCTCATCTCCCCTGCATTATTTGTCTGCTGCAGTGCTGTATTAGCATCCACAGGAAGCAATTCACCGTCTTTGAGATTTGGATAAGTGGGATCCTCCCGATCGTCCGGCACAGTGCCGAACCTCACAATGGGGAACGTGTCCAAAATGGCTCGTCCAAGACCTCTGGCTCGGCTTTGGCTCCCGCCGCGTGCGAGACGGAGGTCGCCAGTCGCAATTCGGGGACCGTATCTCTCGGGATGGCGTATTGCCCTAACTGCCTGGACAATATTTAGATCAACACTAATCAATAGTGTAGCGCAACATACCCCCGAGATAATGACGATGCAAAACAAAGCTGAAACACAGCCGGTGATAGCATACAGGATGATCCTGTAATCAGACTTAGCCCGTAAATCAAATACACTATCAGATTATTCTCACATAGTGAAACCTGTCCCTTTTTTACTGCCTTGATTCGTAGTCGAACCAGTGGAACCATTGCCATTGCTGCTTATCCCAGTAGAGTTGGTTCCCGTCGCATTCCAAGCTTGCAAAGTTGCAAGTAGATATCCAGGAACGGTAGGATAGCCCGACACTATAGACTGACTGATAGTTGTGTCGGATGCGTTCAAGGTAGTTGCATCGAAGTTCCCATAAACAGATAGATTCGTGCGTCCACCTTGCCCGAACTCGTATTCAATGTTTCTAGGGACTCATAAACCAGGCCTACATAAGCATGTACAGTCAAACTCACCTCGAGACCGATGTCGACTGAGTTGAGAATATATCGAAGACTTGATCAAAATTAGCGGGATCAGCATACTCTGGATTGATGACGCAAGTGCTGGAATAAAGAGAATACAGAAGCTGGAATGAAAGAATTAGCCATGCAATTGTCGACGTACATGCAACCGAACAAGCTTACAGCAGATTGAGCACCTGAGCTGTTCGCCATCGTAAATATGTCGACTTCCTCAGAGAAGTCCGTCGAATTGGCATCGCATGATACTAGAGCTATCCAAGGAGTGGTTGCTGTCTGTATGAGCATCCTCGCCGAGTCGATATAGAATGCACGCTTACATGTTTCATTCATCGCTAAACTCTCAGTGAAGTGTACGAGGGCGCCCTATTTGAAGGATGAGATCGCGGTCAGCTCAAACGGATATATATGCACCTTAGTGGTACCGTTGCTATTTGCGCCCACAAGTTGATAGGACACGTACTCCCAATCCGAGCTAAGAATACAACCCAAGCAACCAAACGGAGCAGCTCAGAATGCAAACGCGGAAGGCGCGCTGGCAAATCTCACCCGTTGGGGTACCACTGAAGGATCAACCTTGACGTATTCATGCCATTTATCTGGCTCGTGTCGTTAGAAGGCTGCGCTGGGATGTACCCGTACGCTGAACCTATCAGGTTCAAGAGCACAAACAGGACGTGAAGCGACACAGCATGGAGTAACATGATAGCTGGTGAGCAGGAACTGCGGAGAACGTCGGCCTCGATTTTGAGCCAAGGTTTGACGATGAGCTTGACATTCACACTCTGTACTCGGCAAAGTAGTTTGCCTCGGTGAGGGCGCGAGGTTGCTTAGGTCAGCGGTCAGTAGCTAGTACTAATTTGGATGGCGCTTCTTACAAACACGAAACGTTGAACAAGGTCGCAACTGAGGGGAGATGCACTACGTACCTCAGCGCTCCGCAGCGTGTGTTGCAACGTTGAATTGGTTTTGTTAAAGTGATTAACCCAGAATACGCGGACCTCGGACGCGCTACCTCACAGTGATGTGTGACCTTTTACCATTCTGAAATAGATCGGCTTTAAGAAACCATGTCACGATTTGACGTTGGACCCCGAAAACTGCGGCGGGGAAAGGTACGAACGTAGTACGTACTACCGTTTTCATTGTTCTGCTCGTCGAGCTGGCGGCCTTTGCGCACAGCATCCTCTGCTATTTTTTTCAAACCTTGCATCCCGTCCGTAACCCTCGACACCAATCTCGCTCTCGCTCCTTCCTGGTACCTACGGCCTAGCTATGCCGTTGTTGCCGGTCGATCTCTTTTGTGGAACAGCGCATCAAGACTGGACGGCACGTCCGCGCTAAAATCTAGCCCCAGATCCCCATCGCGCTCGCAGTCAACATCCCCTCGTTGGCTCTATCCTTTTTGTCGGTTATCCCTATTGGCGCGGCCTTCACATTCTTTTTCCAGTGATTTCTGCTGCATCCTGGATTTTCCCCTCTTTTTCTAGCTTGCAGCTCCACCTCGTGCACACGACCCTACTATCAATGTCTACATACATGTGACTGTCATTGGAATTTCATATTGCATCCTCATCATCGTTCATGGAAAAAAATTGTCGAGGAGATGCTACACTAACACACCCGAGTTTTATATGGGAGAGAGTGGCAGGCACGAGAGAGATGAGGACACGAGGATGAAAGAGTCAAAAAATGATATATGAGGAAGTGCTGTCCCAAGGAATGCGCTCGACCATGAGCGTCGTTGCGGTGACTCCAATTGAGGTCCGTCCGTCCATGCTGAGTGCTAATGTCCGTAGGCCGTAGGAAGTGAAAACGCGCATGGGGGTGAGGAAGAATTCGGAGCAGCTAGCTTGGCGATGACCCGACGTTTAAGGGAGTAACGCGAACAACGCAGAAAAGATACGCGCAGGAGCAGTGAATGTTAACTTCGACTTATGGATAGCGAGGAAATACGCTTACTGAGCGGTGGTTGAGGTCTCTGCCACTGATGTAATTGACCGCAGGGACTCGTTTTTTTCACCCTGACCTAGGAGCCGATCTACTTCAGAATGGTGACAGGACACTACACTCCTATCTTCATCTTGGCGGACGGTGTATTTATTCTTCGCATCGTTACATGCCTTGGCTAGCCCATCCTTTCCAAAAAAACTCGAGTCCGTAATCAATCCCTGGACTATCCCAAACCGAGCGCTCGATGAGCAGGTAGAATTGTAGATCTGGCAGTCACTTGATACATATTAATCTATGTAAGGGTGACTGGAGCACAGCACCCTCGTCGGCCACATTGTCCGACCCCTCAGATAGTCAGTGGAGTTCTCCCATCCAGCATGTTCTTATCATACCGGCACTAGTCCTCTTTCTGACATTCCTGTTATCCATGAACCATCTATAAAATCATACGTGACTTGTCATACAATTGTCAACTCGTGCATTGGACATTTTACCCCCATGACAGAAAGCCGGAGTACGAACCTGTCACCTATAGAGGTCCAAGATGTGGAATTTCATATTGATGCTCAATCGCATTCTCCCAGTTCCATATTGCCAAATGAACCTATTAAGCTTGATATAGAGCATGCCGTGGTCGAGGATGATCCTCGAATATGGTCAAACACGAAGAAGGTGAGTCTTTCTATACTACATGGATTTTAAGTAGAAATTGATTGAACTCAACTACAGACTGCCATATTGTTCATTATATCTGGTGCCTCAGTGATTTCGGGTTTGGGGTCTAACATACAAAACCGTAGGTTGCGTCCGTGATTCTGTTGTGTCAAATATTTGTTAAACGGTCAGGGAACAGCCGCCAATGCTCAAATCAAGCAGCAGCTACACGCCAGCAGCGGAGATATCAGTCTGAGTATATCTCTGTTCATTCTGGTTCAAGGCAATTTTCCTATCATTTGGAGTGCGATTAGCGAGATAAAGGGCCGCAAGGTTTGTATCTATAGCCATCCTTAGAGCGTTATTTGTTAATATGAGTGAACCTAGCTCGTGTACCTTCTATCCATTGGGCTTTTCATAATTGGATCTGCAATCGTGGCTGTGTCAAGGACTATTGGTTTGATGATTGGCATGCGAATCATGCAAGCCGCAGGGTGGGACAGTTTCTCAATCACTCATGTCCGTGCTCATTTTAAGTAGGTCAAGCGCAATTTTCGGTATGGGAACTGCCACTCTGGCCGATATATACGAACCACATCAACGAGGTACAATGATGGGTGTCTACTATTCTGCACCTCTCCTCGGTCCCTCGTTAGGACCAATCTTTGGTGGTGCACTCACACAGGGCCTTAGCTGGCGGGCAGTTTTCTGGTTCTTGGTCATCTGGGGAGGTATAATCTTCTCGGCATTTCTTGTCTTGTTCAAGGATACCTTCAGGAAGGAAAGGAGTGTGGTTTACCAGAACATATTAAATTCGAGACTCCGAAAAAAGCAGTCGTCGGAAGCGACGGACGAGTCGCAAAACATTTCGAAATCAAAAGTGGGTGGAGAAAACAAGACGACATCGAAAGATATCGAAGCACAGCGGCCGGTAATACCATCAGCCATTAAAGACATGAAACTGTCCATGGTTGATGTCAACCCTTTCCCTCCATACTTCTCTATTGTCAGCCGCAAGAACAACCTGCTTATCTTGATAGCATCAGGCGCGTGCCCTTATTTCTTGCTGAAAACCTATTTTTATGCCCTCTCGCGCTAGCCTTAACATTTGCGTTTAGCTTTAGTATTGCGTATACATGCGCAAGAACATTGTCAGTGTATTATGATTATGATGCATTGAAGACCGGCCTTGTTTTGCTTGTCTATGGTGTCGGTAAGCGAATTACAAGTATTGGGAACACCTGCCTGACGCATCTATTTATCGCAGGCTCCGTAGCTGGCAGCATATCGGGCGGTTATTGGTCCGATAGGACACTTGCTCGGCTAAAGGCTGAAAATGGAGGGGTCAGCTTCCCAGAGGTGAACGTCGAACCACTACCACTGACTCAGCAGATGGCTGATGCAAATTCATTCAGATGCGCCTCGAGAGCACGAAAATCGCCATGTTGTGGTCACCTCTGTCTGTGATTGGATACGCCTGGGTGTGCCAAGAACGAGTCCATGTTGCCGCTGTGTGTGTGATGCTGTTCCTCACTGGATTTTTATCTGTGTACGTTCACTGAATTTTTACATTGTATTTTACTTCTCATCCACGATAGATGGATCTACGCAAGCACACTGGCATACCTTGTCGATGCAAACGCTGGTCGCTCATCAATGGCAGTAGCAGCAAATAGTTCTTTCCGTGGTCTGTTTGCTTTTGTCGCTGCCGAGATTGCGGTTCCTTTACAAGTGAGTCAGGGTCATAACAGTTTGCAGAAGGCCAAATCTAACATTAGTTTAGGATACTATTGGTGACGGTGGTCTGTATACTCTCTGGGCAGGTCTAATGGTTGTCGTCGAGTGCATGATCCTGCTAGTGTTGTACAAAGGCAGGAGCTGGAGAGAAGCCAGTGTTGAGCGGGAGAAGCAGACACTGGATGCCAAGTAAGGTTTAGACGATCACACGTCCAACCGACCCTGATTGAATACTGAGGGGCAGGAAGTAATAGAAAGGTCAGAATTCGATGACCGTAAGTATCAGTAGCCTGGGGTATTGCTGTATATGCAGAATCGATTTAAGCCGATTATCGATGTACGTTGATCGATCCACCGAGTAACCGGAGATCCTATTCTTGGGGGTCCAATGTGACCACCTCGTTCGGAAAGTCATCATCATCCCCTCCCTCGATACAAAGACTTGGTCCGAGAATGGACTCGTCATCCGCACAGACTGCGACTTTTTTATCGACTATCTCCAACATGTTTGCCTTGTCCTCTGAGAGTGGTTCCTTCAAGCTCACTCAAGCCATCATCTCAGGCTTCCCTAACTATACTCAAACATTACGACTCATCCAAATTTTTATTGGATGTCGTCTGGTTGCAGCGTTCCCAGCTGAACGCAGTCGAATATGCTCGAATTCTTCGTGGATGCTTCGGCTTCCTTTGGAATTGTCATCTTAGCCAATGCGGCGGAGTCTGATTGAGTCCAACTTTCCTTTCTAGTAATAAACAAAACACATGTAAACAGAACCTTTGTGTTCAAATATGGAACTCGACGCCTTACTAACAGCTTCTCAACTCGGGAATATTACAGAATGTCGCCGATCGCCATTCAACCAGATACCGAGTAACTTCTAGAAGACATTCGTATCATCGTGAACATTACAGACGTTCGTTATATATTGTCACGGACATGTATATAAATGCTGGTTAGAGTCGCTCAGACTTCAGCAAACTCCTCCAACGTTGATCAATAACAACCACCAAAACACCTCTCGACATCTACTATTTCTGCACTTAATCATGTCTTTAGTGCGCACATTTTACGATCCATTCACCGAGTTCGACAAGCTATTTGACGATGCTTTCAATGCTCGTTTCCATCCCTCCCCTACCATCGAGGGTAATACTACCTTGACTCATCGCCGTGATCGGGCATTCCCTAGGTAAGCATAATATAAATTTCAATGTAGGTATGTCGTTGACTCGTATCAACACAGGATGGATCTACACGAGAACTCTGAGACCAAGACGGTCACGGCGACATTGGAACTTCCCGGCATCAAACAACAGGATGTCAATGTCGAGGTCCATGGAAATCGTCTGACAATATCCGGAGAGTCGAAATGCTCAGATAATTACAACAAGGACAGCTATGTGGTGCAGGAGCGTTCTTATGGCAAATTTTCCAGGACCCTTCAAATTCCTCAGGGAATCAAGGTGAGCACACTAACAATGTGAATTCCGTGTAGCGATTTGGTGTTGACGGTTATTGTGCCCTTCAGGCTGAGGACGTCCACGCGAAGATGGAGAATGGAGTGCTTACTGTGTCCTTCCCGAAGGTTGGACCGGACCAGCAACCCCAGCGAATTGCGATCGCGTAACGCGGTGGATCGCTTAGCCCAATCCATTGTCATTTCAAATCTGTATCATTAGCCTAGTACAAAGGTGGAAAAGTAATAGTGTATATGTAAAATAGTGGTTACCAGGCTCACCTGATCTTTTTTTTGAATCGAAGTATGTCAAATCAGCTGATCTGCTATATCGGTTACTACTTGGAGGTGCGGAAGGCCCCATCTGTCACTACTAATTACGGTACTTACGTGGGAGTCGCAGGTGGAACTACATTCTACACCCTGGTATAAATGCATAGATTTGTGGGCTCGACGAACATGACAAAACATGTCAGATACTCGGTACAAAATAACGACTATTCAACCTTCTCGGACGACTTCTTTGACTGATTCCGCAAATATCTGACAACCTTTTTGCAAATCACCCTGCGAGATATTCAGAGGAGGTATGAACCTGATGACCTCATATAATGAAGTCGTGAGGATTAGAAGCCCCTTCTCCATGCAGCGCTTCGCCACACGACTTGCGAGGTTCTTCGGTGCGGACGGAACCAGTGCGGGATCAGTTGGAGAGTACAACGGGGATGCAAACTCGACAGCAACCATCAGGCCCTGGCCCCGGATATCGACGACCATGCTCCCTACTTCTGGGTCATCACGGAGGGACTTTAACGATGTTAAAAGTTCGCTCGAACTAGAAACTGTGAGACTACAGAATTCTGGACCGCTTGTGTAGTGATCTTACCGAGCCGAAACATTATCGAGTACCTTCTCTTCACGGAAGGCGTTAGCGACAGCCACCGCAGCAGCGCATGATACGGCGTTGCCTGCATATGTACCTCCCTTAAAATGTGCTATCAACGGGACGAGAAAACACGAGCTAGTGGTAATGGACTAACCATGGAACCCGGTACTAACTTATCCGTGAGCTCTTTCCTGCTGACCACACCACTCAACGGGAATCCATTTGCAAGGCCCTAGGGTTAATCAGCGATTCAATTAGCCATGACTAACATAGCAATCCACTGTACCTTTGCGATTATCAGGATATCGGGTCGGACACCACTATATTCAACATTGAAGTACTTGCCAGTCCTACCGAATCCACTCTGTACTTCATCTACAATAAGGAGGATGCCATGTTTGTCGCAGACGGCACGCAATCCTTTGAGAAAAGATGCAGGGGCTGGTACATAACCACCCTCTCCAAGTACAGGCTCGACGATGATGGCAGCGGTGTCTCTGGGAGCTGTTTGTTGTTTGAGAACAAGATCTAGTTGATACAATGAGAGTCGGACGAGCTCTTCTTCACTCGTATTGATCGATAATCCCAGTTGGTGCCAGTACGGGAACGGTATAGCAAATGCCCCAGGCTACAATGATGTTAGTCCAGTCGCAGATGTCCTAAGCACCAAAATTACCATCAATGGAAAGAATCCTTCACTATAGACTGTCTTGCTCTTTGTAACAGCCATGGCACCAAACGTTCGACCATGATAACCGCCTGCAAGGCCAGAAATTCTGCTTAAGCTCTTCGTGAATAATTACCACCAACTCACCCTGCATGGCGATAATGTTCTGCCGGCCAGTAATTTGTCGTGCCATCTTGAGGGATGCTTCAATGGCTTCAGAGCCTGAGTTCCAAAAGAAGAACGAATCAAGCGAGGGATCAGGCATGATTGGAAGGAGTTTCTCGATAAGGCGCAAGTAAGGGCCATGGAATGAGATGCTGCACTAGAAAAGTACCAAGAGTGAGTTTATCTCAAACTGCATTCCGAAGTTAGATCATACCTGAGCATGAACAATGTTCACACATTGATCTGCTGCAGCTTTGGAAACCTTCGGGTGGCAATGACCTGGAGTGGGGTATCTTCTAGTGGATGATTCACTGTGGAGCGTGTAGCAACTCACCAAGGTTTGTCACACCGATACCACAGCTGAAATCTAACATCCTACGCCCATCCTCAAAGGTCACGTACGAACCCTCACCCTTTGTCATAACAGCTTCTGTGAGGCGGCCGAGGCCTCTGGTGACATGTTGTTGTCCAAAAGCAACGAGGGAATCGGCAGAGGTAGTCATCGCCCGCGACTGTGATATGAGCTTACCACCTGCAGAAACGACGGGCTCGCAGGGTCGGGCATGGTCGTTTCTGATATGGCCGCAGCGCGGATTAGTGACCCGAAGTAACTATAGAGGCGTGAATGTCTACCTAATCATCACTGGAGATACAGAACATTTGGCGACGCCAGAACTGCCCGTTGAACGGATGGCCCTTGTACATGTAAATACTCTGTTAAGAACAGGCATGTTTGTTGCCCGTAGTGAATTGGTGGTGTGGCTAATCGAATTCAAAAGGCCAAGTTGACTGAAGTACGTCGACTAAGCGATATACGTACAACAACACGCTCAGGGGTTCTAATTATAGTACGCGTGCTCCATCATGATGTATAATAGCTCAGCGCTAACGGAATCAGAAAAGACAGCGTTCCGAAATATTATGACTGGTATAACAGATCGTACAACTCCAATACTTGAGCTGAATGAGGGAGAAGGATTTAACAAGACTTGTAGCGCCTCGTTAATCATTGGGAATCACAGGAGCTTGCCGATGGGGGTAAGGCCATCAAAGCCGTTCTGCGCCCTATCGTAGGCCACGCGGCCGCGCAAAATCGTTTGCTGCACAACTCCATTTAGCACCATCCCTTCGTATGCGGAGAATTTGTTCTTGAAGTGGAAAAGTGCCTTTGACACCTGTCGATGTTAACGTTAAAGAATGACTTGGCAAAATCGAAAGTGTTTATAATATACCTTGAACTCGGCTGCAGGGTCCCAGATGATGAGGTCGCCATCATACCCTACTGACAATTGCCCTTTGCATGATGAAAGCCCAGCGTGTTTCGCGGGTTCTTCGCTCGTCCAACGAATAATCTGACGGAGGCTAATGCCTCTCTTTTGGCCTTCTGTCCATAGAAGGCTAAGGCCAAAGCCGAGACTGTTTATGCCTCCCCAGGCAGTCATGATATTGCCCTCTTCGAACTTCTTCAACTCTGCCACACATGGACTGTGATCGGATACCACACAGTCGATGGTACCATCTATTAATGCCTTCCACAGTGCATCTCTGTTTGATTCGGAACGAATAGGCGGGCAGCACTTGAATTCAGGTCGGCCATCTGGTATGTCGTCCGCTGAGAGGCACAAATAATGGAAACATGTTTCCACCGTCAGATTCAAACCACGAGAACGTGCAGCATGAATAATAGGAAGAGCGGAAGATGCAGATAGGTGAACGATGTGGCAACGAAGGGAGTTGTATTTCTCTTGCAAGACGGTAATCAGGGAGATAGCGTTGGCCTCAAGCTCCTGAGGGCGAGAGGAGAGGAAGGTTTGATATACTGTTGGATCGTGTTCCTCGTGATTTTTCACTGAGCAGGAATCACCCTCAAGCTCTGCGTGGAACAACAAGACAGTCGATTGATCCTGCGAGAGAGAAAAGTTAGCTAGTAGCTCACTGGGTCCTCACATGCAGTTTGACCTGGAGCTCTTGCATGTGCACATGGAGATCGTGTTCTGAGACGGAAGGAAATTCCTGGGCAAATGTTGTGAGCCATTGGATGATAGGACGCCATATCTTGCTCACCTCGACACCGCTTTCAATCAAAAAGCACTTGAATCCCTTTACTCCAGCAGCCACCAACGGTTTCAGGTCCGCCTTTATTCTAATATGAGGTGATTTCTTCAGACAGTCTCAAACCCGCAGCTTGCCTGGTTCCCTGGAATAACTCCACCCCAAAAACCAACGTCAGCCCAGCACTGGCCTTGTGCAGTTTGTCGCTTGATCTCGAGGTTTTGCAAAGTGGTCGTGGGCGGTATAGAGTTTAAGGGCATATCCACAACCGTGGTGATTCCTCCTGCCACAGCTGCCCGCGTACCAGTCCAAAAGCCTTCCCAGTCCGTTCGACCAGGCTCATTTAGATGAACGTGGGCACTGCAAAGGCATTCAAATGACAGGTTCTCATGGGGATACGGGGCAAACACTCACTCGACTAGTCCAGGAAGAACAAACTTTTCTCCTGCATCAATGAACGTTGCATCTCCGCCCGGACCTCGTTCTGCATACACTGTTTGGATGTCTGTGATCTTACCTGTGTCGATATTCACCCTGATCGTTGCTTGCTGCGGCTGATCCGAACCGGGCAGCAGGACATTCCGGCCAGTCACAACTAGGGACTGGTTGTTCATGGTCTTATCGAAAGTTTCAACTGACAGCGCAATGTGATCAACTGCAGATACGATTAAGCTTTGAGCTATGCCAAACAAATGATAAATGAACACTCACATCGTATGTACTACGACTCGGATCTGCCCAGTAATTCAAGGTCAATGTTGCTTCGTACTACTAGTTGCCAAGCCCGGCTGGCTGGTAGTGTTAGATATATATGAACATCTTGCTAGGCCCCGGCCCAATTAGCCAATCGTAGCTTGTAAACTTCCTTTGATTGGTCTATTCGACCGAAAGTTCACTGTCGCTGCTTGCACTCAGATCTAGTGATTTCAAAGACTTTCGCCAATCACCAAACTAATACAGGTCGCCGCAAATTCGAGACTGCAACGTTCTGCCCAGTTTACAACACACTGCACACAAGCAAGAATTGTCGCGCAAGTACCTATAGTAGCTCTCCGGAAGGTTGAAGACCCGTGAAACCATCTTGAAGTGCCGAATCGTAAGCCAATCTACCACGAACAAAAGTTTTGTGTACGAGGCCCTTCAAGGTCATGCCTTCATATGGAGTTAACTTGTTCTTGAAATACAGATGTTCTTTCGAGACCTATCACTCGATCGGTTATCGTCACGGGAGCAGTAGCAGAACTAGAATCCACCTTGAATTCTGGTTCCGGATCCCAGATCACCAAATCTCCGTCATGTCCCACTTTCAGCTGGCCCTTAGTACCAGACAGTCCCGCTAACTCGGCATTTCTAATGGTCATCCAACGGATGATCTGTCCAAGTGAGATGCCTCTCTTCTTTCCTTCCGTCCATAGAAGGCTTAATCCAAGGCCTAGAGAACTGACACCACCCCAAGCTTCCATGAAATCGCCGCATTCAAGCCCCTTCATTTCAATGAGACAAGGACTGTGATCGGAAGTTACACAATCAATGGTACCATCCACGAGAGCGTCCCAGAGGAGATTTCTGTTAGAGTCCTCGCGAATCGGAGGGGTGCATTTGTACTCGGTTGCGCCATCCGGGATATCCTCTGCTGATAAACATAGATAGTGAAAACAGGTTTCAACGGAAAGTTTTGATCCACAGTCCTTGGCAGCACGGATGATGGGTAAGGCGGCTGCGGCTGATAGATGGGCGATGTGACAGGAAACTGAGGGGTATATCGCTTGGAGGCGAGTAATGAGAGTGATAGCATCTATCTCAAGCTCCTTAGGACGCGAAGAGAGGAATTCCTGATATGACCTTGGATTAAGCCGGTGCCGGGCTGGTGAAGAAGCGGCCTGCATTTCAGCATGGAAAATCATGACGGAATTCTTTGCAAAATGCTGATAGTTAGATTATAGCCATCGTTTGTATGCTCAACGAAACCCTACTTGAAGATAGGACATGTGCGCATGAAGGTCATTCTCAGAGACGCAAGGGAATTCCTATGTGAAGCTGGCATCAATATAAACATAGTTATGCATGGAATTTTGGCTTTGAGTTACCTCGATGCCTGTATCAATCAAAAAGCACTTGAAACCTCTGACGCCAGCGGATAAGAGGGGTCCCGATTCGGCCTTGTAGATGATAAACATCTGACACGCTGGAACCTGCTGGTGCACTTACTTGATTCTGAGGAATCGCTCCTCCCCAAAATCCAACATCTATCCAACACTGTCCACGAGCAGAGTGACGTTTAATATCAAGGTTCCTTGGTGTGGTGGTGGGCGGACTTGAATCGACGGGCATATCAATTAGAGTGGTAACGCCTCCGGCAGCTGCAGCTTGTGTGCCGGTCCAAAAGCCTTCCCAGTCCTGGTTTCCGGGTTCCTCTAGATGGACATGGGCACTGTTATTATGACAATTAGCAGTCGTGCTTTGCAACAAGGAAATACCCCTACTCGACCAGTCCAGGAAGAACAGTTTTATCTCCCGCATCAACAAAGTGTAGTTCCCCCGGGGCCCAGCTTTCCCTACACGCCCCATCGCCAATGTACCGCAAGCGGACTTCGATTATTTTACCAGTCCTGAGGTCAACATTGATCGTCGCAGGTCGTGGCAGATCATAATCGGGAAGTAATACGTTGCGACTGGTCACTGTGAGAAGCATGATAACCTGCCCAGTTAATGGGCCACAGATGCAGTCGTGTTCTTAAAGATTACATTAATAGACCGTTCAGCTTGGGAAGTGACTGCGCGACGAAGTACGGGCTTATGTCCGACGGGAATCGGGGATACTCGTAAACAAAGCATTGTGAGCGCTTTGAATTTATGAGTGTTGCAAGGCCTCGTCGCGCTGAATTTTGAAAGAGTGCACATGGTAGTGGTGCGCAAACTGACCTTTGAAAATTTGGTATTGGCGAAAGCCACGTGACAATGCATAATCGAGACTGAAGACGATCTGGAACCAAGTTACCTTGGTTTACAAGCCGCGTGTGCTCATTTAGTTTGATACCCATGTACCATCTTCCAGCATAATCTGTTCAAATGTCAAACGGAAGTACCGCAAACGATGTTTCTGTTATAGTAGCATCAAAACCGGATCCACCTTCACCTCTCGATACCTTGCTTTCCCCGAAGGGCTCAACATATGAGGAGCTTTCCCCAAGAGGATCTGTCGCGGAGTCCGACTATAACGATGTGATCCTTGATGACGATCCAAGCTTCTCAACCGTTCCGCTCTCAGGAGACACCAGCCTTGTCACCGAGGCAGACGCGGACGATACGCTTCCGAAGCTGAACCGCAGGACGACTATTTCATCGGTACCCTCAAAAGCCTTCTCTTCTTTACGACATTTCTCACATAGGAAGTCTGCTTCGACAATAACGATACCATCTGCCCCTGGAAGTAATATTCTTGCGCGTATCGGGTCACAGGGTACCCGCGATGAAAGCAGTATAGAAGCGTTGCGGAGTGCCGGAGAAGGGCAACAGAAGCTTCACGAAGAATTTTTGCGCCTCCATAACGAGCGACGTGCTGAGGTAACAGAATCTGAACAGGGAGGCATAGATTGGGGTAAGAGCGACTATGCACCAATTTTCAGCTCTGACTCCAGCGCAAGGTTTCTGGGGAGCCGTTATTTCAGGTGATGTGACAACTTTCTAAGCGATCTTGTATCCGGTATTTATCTCGTATCTTAGATTATCAGGGTTTTGCAGCCTCGAATCCCCAAAAGCTAGCCAAAGCGATCGAGAAGGGGATTCCGGATGCGCTTCGTGGAATGATGTGGCAATTAATGTACGATGCTTCTTGACACTCAGCTCCACCGCTGACAAGGCGCTTGAGGCAGGGCAGCATCAAAGGACGCTGAGCTAGAGAATACATACCTTTCGCTCCTCAAGGAGTCCAGTCCTCATGAAAAGGCAATCACAAGAGATCTCGGAAGGTTCGATTTTTTTAGATGTCCATAGTCATGACTTGACCTCCAGCTCACAGAACCTTTCCTCACCACAATTTCTTTACCGATGGACAGGGCATCGGCCAAGAACATCTTTTCAACGTTCTAAAAGCATACTCATTGTATGACCCTCAGGTTGGTTATTGTCAAGGTCTTCCTTTCGTTGTAGCAGTACTCCTTCTCAATGTGAGCTTTTCATTGTTCCAGTTCAATTTGACTTTACTTTTCACGACCTAGATGCCAGATGAAGAGGCCTTCTCGCTCCTCGTGAGGTTAATGCACTCTTATGGTCTACGGGGTCATTTCCTCCCAGAGATGCCTAAACTGCAGCTCCGGCTCGTATGTGGAGATCTAATACAACACTTATTTTCACTCACACTTACTCTCTGATATTAGTACCAGGTATGCCTCTCAGTGTATCTGTGGTCACTGTCTCAAGCGACAATAGTTCGACCGATTGATAGAAGAATTACTACCCGTGCTCCACGTTCATTTCCTTAGACAAGGCATAAAATCTAGCATGTTTTGCTCGCAATGGTTTCTAACGCTCTTCAGCTATCGGTACGCCTGCAATTTCCATGGTGTATAGCATAACTTAGTAGTGGAAGCTCAGGTTTCCCCTAGAAATTGTAGTCCGGATATACGACAATTGTTTGGCCAGTGGCATCGAAGCCATCTTTGCATTCAGCATCGTGCTACTCCAGAAGAATGAAGACAAGCTACTTAACCTCAGGTTTGATGACATCCTCGCGTTTCTGAAGAACAAGATTTTTGATCGGTATGAGGTAGGTTGCGCCATCTTATCATTGCACTCTGCTTCACAGTGAAATCAATAGATTGACCCTTTGGAATCATCTGAAGATCATATCACCGGTTCCGATAAGAGTGTTAAGTATGATGTAGACGCGTTCGTGCTGGATGCTATCTCTGTGAAGATCACGCCATTCATGTTGGACGCTTACTCACACGAGTATGAGGACCTTGTTCGGACCCGAGATGCACATGCCATTGAGATCGATAAGTTGCGAAACACCAATCGCAGCCTGTCCGCGCAGGTGTGAGTACTCGTTGGCAGGTACAGCTGACCATCTTTGAATGCGTGGACTTTAATTACAGAAAAGAACTTGATACAAATATGGCGCAATTAAATGCAGAGCATGTCGAAATTCTTGTAAGCTGTAATCTACATTTTTGAATCCATACATTGACTCAGCGGTCGTTCAGAACCAGCTTGTAATGGCTCGGCTGCGAAACGAAGAGCTTGAAGAAGAATTGGTTAGATACAAACTACTGTACAGTACTTTCCTCTTCCCTTACTCTATGGTCCTGATATGCGCGACAGTTACGCCGAGGCCATGCACGAGAATCAGGATTCCTTGTCGTCTCATCGCTTGTCATCTCAGACTAGAAGGGGAAGTCGCCCCTTGTAATACAGAAATTGATTGGAATTCACAGGACATACGCAATACACAGGAATTAATTTCCTCGAGCGGTCCATGTATTGAAACAAAACTTCTGATATCACTACAGGGCAGATTCTGACAAGTAGTACAATTATGACGACCGAAAAATAACCATTTGGATTAGAGTCCTTGCGAAAGTTGAACCTACAAACAAACATTAGATCGAGGTCAACTCCTCACTCACGTGAACACTGACCTCTTCCTTGCTGATGATGCGCGACTGTCCAGGAGCCGTAGCCTTGCCCGTAGCAGCGGCATAAGCCACTTCCGTGGTACGCACCGCAGAGGAGTGATTCGTAATCCAGTACTTGATCTCATCCGGAACGACCTCGATCACGGCGACGCGTGGATCAGTCTTGTCGCCCTTGTGGACACCATCCTTTAGGTCGCCGAAGTAGCCGGTAAGGCTGCGCCCAGTCAAAATATGACAATGCACAACACAGTTACACGCACATTGGGGACCAGAGCTTATTGATCAATTCTTGGTCCTCAGTCACTCTGGCTCTGCCGGAGTAGGATGCCCAGTCTGTGGAGGATGCGTCACAGAAGCTGACGTTGACGTGCGCATCATTCTCGATGTCACCGAACTTGTGAGACGCGTTGTTCGCGAGGAACACAAGGGTCAGCTGCGTGTCGCTAAGTGCTTTAAAACGCAACCAGTGTATCAGAATGAAGAAGAGTGTGCAGCGGAGATTAAATTCGTACGCTTAGTAGGAGTCATTGCTCGGGAATGCAAGTTCCCGTTTACGTCGCGCGTGACGAGCATTCCGACCTTTGCTTTCTGGATGACGGTGTGCAAACCTGACGAGCTGTCAGTGCGATGAATCAGGTGTTCGTGAAGAGGAATGCGTACCGGTGATCTTCTCCTGAAGAGTGACATTCGTACTCTCTGCGAGGCTGGAGTAGGGATCGAGGCGGGCTTGTTCTGGGCTCAAATCAGACATGGTTGTACAATGGATGCAATGGTTCAGGGATGTGGTTTGGGAACCGAAAGGATTGGGGTTTATGTAGATGATGCTTGAGTAGGATGACGTCAGACCTCTGAGACTAGACTCCAACTGGACTCCAACTCAGAGACCCCCTAGGCCTGTTATTAGTTGGTTATTCGTCTTCGGATCCTAGATGTTGCGTCACTTAGGAGCATTGCTCCTTCAAGCCTATGTAAGACCCCGAGGAGCCTGCTCGCTAACGCCGTTGTGCCTCCACAACACTACTGCACCCGCTGCTCGTACGTTCCGATCCAGTCCAATGCCCTGGTCCGACAAAAACTCGTCTTCCTTCGTTCAGTCCAAATTCTAACTTATTCAAGCGTCCACTGTTCACACCACACAAATCATAAACATGCTGTCGCCATTACGCCCTGGCCTCTACTCATTCGCCCCTCCGACATCAACCATCGCTTCGACGCCGCCGCCACCGTTGACTTTTAAAATTCAACAAATGTGAAGACTACGTGTGTGATATGTCAATTTGCCCCGCACGGCGTCGGGCAATATAGCATTCATGCTACACTACTTCACGGCTTCATGCAAGGTACTGAAAGGGTTCAGTTGATCTCGAACGGAAGAAATCTGCTAAATAGTGCGTATTTCACGACAGCGGATCTCACTGACATGGTACATCTATCACACTCCATTTTTTACTTCTGCCTATAAGGAACTTCTAACACTCGGTATGTGTCGCGCCCTGGCCTAATTTTTGACAACTCCGTGGCTTGGTCGGTATGAAGTACTGTGACCTCAGCAATCTCGCCACCATGTATTCGACTTATCGATTGGCGTCATACTTGTGAGTTGGAGCTCAGTTCAAATATAATTCAGTCCACAACTAATTAATACAGTGTCTGCTCAAGGTACCGCTACTACTCGAGGATCATCGAGTCATGGTACCGACCTGTGTCCACCCATCCCCCTTGGGCAAGTACATGATGGCGTCTCGAAACAAGTCTCCTGGCTGACCTATCCGGCGAGCCTGGTGTGGGTATCTGTGACTGAGAGTCCCGAGCTTATCGAAATATGTGGAGGGTATTTTGTGGCGAGTGTGCCTCGATTGCATATCCCGAACTGTAGAGCATGAACAAGTCTTACATATCCTGTGTGTCCAAAAAATAGATTGATCGTGCGTTGTTCGGCTGTTATGAAGTGACGGGGGTCGTTGAATGGCTGTACACGCAGTTTGAACGTGCTCGCGAACCGATAATCCTCGAACGTAAATGGGGACGCTAGACTGGTAGGTCCCGATATGGAAGGTATTGTCCTGCGCTTTAGCTATAACAGCATCGTAATATGTAATATGCAGAAGCAATTAAAGATCACCGGTGCAACTCAACTAGATTTTCTGATGAACTTGAGCTCTAGTGATTAATATTATAGTAGATGCAGTCCCCCCAGACAGTACAACTACCATACTTGATGGGCGACTCAAAACACAGATAACAAGACACGTATGTACAGTTCTACAGACTCCATGAATGACGATACAGTTCCTGTGTGTAGCAAATCACAAGTCCAAAAAACATCGTGATCGAACAACAAAACCAGCGTTAATACTTCGACCAAGCGGGGGTCTGGGGTTCCGCTTGCAACGATGGAAAGTCGGTCGCCTCCCACGTTCCCGGTATGAGAGCAATTGGGAGGAGCCAAGTGGCAGTGAGAACTACTCCATACCCTAGATTTAATGGAACATTGTGACAGTGATCAGTCAAGATTCAGTGACGTGAATGAACGGCATATACCTTTATCAAAAACTTTGACTGCTGACCAGCTCCAGGCAATGAAGCCTCCGATGTAGCCGAGGTATGGTACAAGTCGGCGGAGAATATTCATCGAGGTACGCAGCTGCGGTGGCATAAGCGAGATAGGTAAATGATCCAGTAGCCATTTCAGCGCGGTAGTGATCATGGCAGCGCGTTTGGCAGCTTCAAGCTGCTTATCATTGAGAGCATCGAGCACAGGAGGCGGAAGGTAACTAAATAAACCACATTAGTTTTGAAGGTGTGCGATTATATCAGTAAACGCCTACATTCGGAATCCCCACCACATAGCTTGAATGGATATTTTTGTAGGCGACGGGAGCCAGACACGATATTCAACTTGCTCACTTACAGCAACAGCAGTCATGTCCCTTGGTTCGACTCTGCTGCTGGAAGAGAACTGCTCAGGGTTCGCCCTTTGTTTCCCTTTGCGCTTATCGAAACTCTCGCTCTGGGCGAGGACTTGTTCGATCGACTCTGATGGAAGGGGAACGAAAGTCAGCTGGGGTGTGCGGATCTCTTCTCCATCTCCATTGAGTGAGACAATCTCAGAGCGCGCGATCTCTATCTCCGAGTCCTCGGTGGGTTCTAAAGGCCCGTACATCATCACCGATCCATTGTCATCTTCATACTCCGCGCCAGTGCGCGGTCTCTCTGCGTTTGGCCCAGCTGTGCCATTCCTCATTGTTATAGGGGATCGCAATCGGTCTAACACAGACCAGACGGACTCTCTCCCACGATCGATTGACCCATTCATGACGGTGAATGAAGTGAGAAATGCCATCAACTTTGAGTCAGAAAATCCTGGGGAAGAAATGGGAGGATTGTCATTGGAATCTATGACTGGCGTTCCGGATGGTGTAGTATAGAATTGGGGGAAAGAAGTGGGTAGCCCAGATGGTATGGAGGGCAGTGATGCAATCATTGCTTGAATTTTTCGAGCGAGAGTGTCCGGTTCTGGTGGTTCGCTTTCAACTCCGACTTCTCCACCACCATCAAATTGAATCGCATCAGTAGTCGCACTGCTGCCTGCCTCCTGTATCTCATCATCAATGATGTGGGAAGCAGGAAGGGATGCAGCAGTGGGAGTGATCGGTCGTTGACCTTGATTGCCTTCCTCCACGAACCAGGAGGATGGAGGAAATCCTGGCCTCTTCGCTTTTCGTGCATACTTCAAGAACGTGTCTATAGTATTTATCTTCGCTTGTGCGAGTTTCGATGTGGAAGATGGTAAAACTTGTTCGGCGTCTGCATGAGCGGTTGATGTGGATTGCTCTGTTGTAGCGCTGGCCTTGCTGAAACTCCTGACAAAGCGAGGAACGATGCCAGGGGGCGGCTCTGATTTTGGAGGCGACACATGTTCTTGCTCCATGGAGGCCAGATGGAAGCAACTTCAGTGACCCAGTGCGTGCCGTGAGTAGCACTGCATGAGTTATGCGTGGCTGTGCTCGATAGTCTTGTTTTGGTAATCGGGTATTTAGCGATTGCCTGTCGGTTTCCTCGAGGCTCGAGGATATGGTTTTTCGCGCAGGGCCGCTAGTAGACGTAACACAGACGATCAATGTCCCTCTTGTATTATTGTGACGAAGATAGTTGTTTTCTGGTATGCTCATGAACAATGAGTACTAGTAACTAAGTGCACAAATGTTACTTCACTTCGTGGGTTTTTGCAGGGGTAATGCGCACCGTGACCGATTTGGTTGTAACTTACGGCCGAATAAATTGCCCTTTGACCCAGGGATCTCAGACCTAGACGTCCCTCGGTTTTAATATTGATGAAGCCTCTTAACACCACGTCCCGCTCGAAAATTATGCAGCATGTTGGCAGTTCGGCACCAAGTCTTGATCGATATGATCTGAGGTCTCATACAACTGGGGGGATTCAAAATTTTAGTCGGATATAATAGCAGATTGATGCCTGATCATGATGAGGATTTGATAAGATTAGCGAGAAACCAAAATAGTAGTCTATGTATGTCATTAGGTCCGATGTGGTTCCGTTAACGTTGAGGGTGGGGACTGGCAGCGGTGTAGACGATTAACAGAGTGAGCTTGGTCGTAGTGATAGATACTTATTTTCATTATGCTGTCTCTTTGTGAGAGAATTAGCCGCCGCGTGTTTGTTTAGATGTAGCTTAAATGGGAAAGATGTGCGAGGCGTGGGGTGCAGCCGGCGCGGTGAGCCAAGCAATAGCCCTGCATTGACTTTTACAATTACTCACTCTGACGTTAAATTGGCTTTGTAGCCTTTTGACTCTTGACACCATCCTTTCATCGCGTGTACTGGTCCTCTTTAACATTTAAATCTAGTCTACCATCAGCTCATCACTTCCTGGGATTATATTCTATCCATCAGCATGACTATGCCAGCCATAGTAGATTCTTTATGTCAATCATTGTCCACTCGCTCTCAAACTTATCCCCGCCATCGTGAGGTATTGGCTATAACAATGAACAATCTGGCCAATCCCATATATTTCGACTACCCAATCCATCCCTCTCGCTTCCCAATCTCCTCAATCCGTCCAGATGGCCCACAGAATACTCCATCTATGCCACCCCGCACTCCCCCAAAACCTGTATTCCCGCGGTATGACCCTCTCCATGTCCTCTCTGCAGATTCTACCCCACTTCCGACCACAAAGCAGTCATCTCTACACCCCCTACAGGTGGCACCCGGTGTCCTCGCAAACGGCGTCATTACTGTCATGCTGCCCGCCGTCCGCGAGTTTCTCACTGCCACTACCATTGCACCACCTGCCGCACCTGAACTCCCAAGCGACAGTAGAGTATTAGCGCTTGCTGCTCTTGCCGTCTTCTATCGTCCCATGCACCCTGCACATTGGGTCTTTTGGAATAAGGAACAAAAGAGGAACACCGCAGCCATTGTGCAGAGTGTATTAGGTGAGTTTAGTCGACATGTTCCCTCCTATGCGGTCCCGTGCACCATAATTCCTGCATTGTTGCCTCTGATGCCTATCGATTCTACTTTCCATTACACTCGGTGTGACTCTCCCAATCATATACTAACATCTACTTCAGATGCTACCCCCACTCCAATCATCTCGCCCATCGGCTGGATAGCCACCCAAGACAACCTGTGGATCCTTGGTTCACTACAACACGCCTATTCCAGTGCCTTATCTTCCCAACCCTGGTACGCCGCATACGTCCCATCTGAAAGCGAAACCCGCATGAGTCTGCGCAAGCGCAAGCCCACCATGATCCAAGAACAAGTCATCGAAGATGATGACGACGATCTCCTCGTACCTCAACCACCAAGGAAGCGTGCAAGGACGCGCAGAACTGCCACAACTACTAGGAGCCCGAGGAAACCGGAAGAATTCTCCCCGCCTGACAACCCGGAGACAGAGGATGTGCCCGATGAGGTCGAAGCAGCCACCGAACTACCGGAACCGGAAACGGTGCTTATGTTGACGCGCGCAGCTAAACGCGAGCTCATCGAAATCCCTGTGCCAGCGCAAGATGCTGAGAAATCTGTCTCGCCAGAGCCGCGTAGGAGCCAGCGGAAGAAAGGTGATTCACCGGCATCTTCGGCGACTACTCTCACGCGCATCCACTCGCGGGAGTTGTCGGCAGAATCCGTGGAAGGCGCTGAAAGCGCTGGAAGTAGCACTGTTTGTGAGGAGGAGCCGGACAAGGAAAAAACAAAGAAGGGCCGCACAGAAAAGGTCGTCAAGCGTCTTGACAATACTGGCGAGGAGGACGGAGACGAGGAAGAAGCTGAGCAGCAGAAACCTGTTCCCGCCAAGAGATCTCGCCCCTCAGCTTCCCGTGCAAAGCCAAGGTCCAGGGCCCCACCAAAGAGAATCAACTCGACGAATACCAATTCCGAGGAAGGCGGCGAGCATGCAGATGCTACTCCCCCGCCACCCGTACCTAAACCAAAGTCACGCTCGCGCCCGAGGACTCGCAGACGTTAGACTTGCGCAAATTCTTTTTGTTTCAACACGTCAATGAATTTCTAACGCACTGGAGGGACCCAATCATCATGATATCACGAATTGCAACGAGTACTGGAGCACATCGCACATCACATCACATTATATCGCACAAGTATCGCACTTCGTCACTGGTCAGGATAATCTGGCCCATCGGATCAAGATCAACGAAATGAAGGAAGGAAGGATCTGAAGGAATGAATGCATAGAATGTACTATCATCGATTTTCAGGACTGAGAAGTTGTTGCATCATCAGTTCTTTTCCTATTCTCGTCATTTTCATTTTCCCTGTCTTCTCACCATCATCTCCCAGGTTTCTTTTCTTTTCTTCTCCCCTTCTCCCTCTTTATTCCTCAATTTTCTTTTCTCTCGTTCAGGTACACAGTTACTGGATTTGTCAAGGGCAAGACCCCATCGCTTGTTGTCGTGCTCCTATCGTTTCCATTTTTACCGATGTCACCTCCATCACTATCACTTTTTCTCGATTCCTTTTTCTCGCCTTGTCCTGTATCATCACGTTACCAGCAGGTGTGTAGCTCGATCTCCCCTATAGTGGCAGGGAGGATACTGGTGTATATGTACTATTACGACGACTGCTACCTATAGATAGCTGGAGCTCAGGTTGCACACTTGCAGAGCTGAGAAGGGTGTATATCATATTTTCTTGATTTTCACGTTGCGCATTAGAATCGCACCAAGATTTCAACGATCTGCTCGCGAGTCGTGCCGGCGCGTCGATGACAGACGCGGTGTGACAGGTCACGTGTATGTGAGTTTGTTGTCACGTTTTGGCCAAGCACCTCCCAGTGTGCCTTCGTTGTCATGCTGCGATCAGATGTGTTTCAGAGATCTACACATGAATGTGCTAATGGCACATTTATGTACGATCACGGTGCGACTTGGCTGCCATACGGAAACACATAGCCATGATGACGATGATCCCGATCACAACAGACACTCCCAGATCTGCTGCATTGCTGAAACTCCCCTGACGATCCTCAGGTTCAATTGGCAATTATAGTTGTATCTTTTTCATTGCTTGATTTCATTCTGCGTTCACATGAATTTGCTTCCTATAGGACGTTGCATTCTCCGAGTCGGCTTGATACTATGATTAATCCGGGACTTGGACTTGGACTTGAATGTACGTATCAGTTTATCGCTTTGATCGCGGTCTGACATTTTACAGTAGGTTTGGAATGTAATCTGGCTTTTGACTCTAAAGTTGTTACGTCTCTTCAGCGAAGGGGTTTATTTTGGGCGACTATCCTTGAGAACTGGGACACACTAGCGGTTCATTTAATATATCCGCCGGGATGGTAGATGATCGATATTAATGCGGCGGTCCATGCCGCGCACGAAATATCAAGATACCTACCAGGATGGTGAAGTCCCACCGTCACCGACATATCTCCGAATCCCACACTGGGACTGTGAGTCTGATGGATTTAAAGAGCTACCTTTCTTGGATTACCCCATAACCGAGGGCGCGGAACGCTTTGCTGAGGTATTTGTGCTTCGAGGTGGTGTTCGGGTATAATACTGCATGCTCGATTCCTCCTCCTTGAGCTTGCTTGTGAGGCCGTAACGCTTTATTACCCTAGCTGCCCTGAAGGCGGACTCCTTTTCAAGCACACAGGATGCCTCTACATTCTGGACCTACTCGATTTTGGATCTTTCCGAGTTCATATTAGCATCGCCTTGAAGGATATGACCGTGGCCGGTGCTATCGCCACCCCGTCAAGTCCCTCGTGTTATCAGCCAAGATGCCTCGAAAAAGAAATCACGCTCTCGACACGCCATACAGCACGCATATACTCAGGTTATCAGTAAGTATCCCGCTGCCCATCGTCACGATGATGTCACGGTACCTGTTTTTACCCTCGGATGGCCTAGTCGCATATTCTAACTACATGGGGCCATTCTCACTAGGCTGCGAAGACCATAGGACCGATCGTAAGATGCTCGCACAGGAAGCTTCCGTTCACTGCTGATAATCTGGTTCTACGACTGTGCCACACGCTAGAGTGAGAGATCCTCTCCATTTCAACAGACTCTATCGCTTACGGTATTTGTATTTTCAGAATACTAAAATTATGAATTGGGTGTCATTACTCATCCGAGCCACCGCCCGTCACAATATTGTACCGAACATGAAATACTTCTGGGTCCCCAAACGTCATTGCAAGCTTGGGGGTGTACTGAAGCCGTTTTATGGTATGCTAAGAGCCCTTATATTGGTGGGCTTCTCCTCGTTATCAACTCCTGTTGACACAAGTTTTCTGTCAGCCACTCCGCAAACCGCAAACCTAAATAATACCTTTATGAACGTTTGTCCTTTCCTGCACTAAAACGTCGGTTCTCAATCATATCGCAACACCGGACTTTATGAGAAACGTTTCGCCGGGCCCTGTCTATCGTCCGACGGAGCAGTGTTCAAACGTTCTATCATGCGACATATCGATTTACGGCAAGATTCCTAACACTCAGGGTTTGCGATTGTTGGCTAGCTTTTCCCTATTCCAAGCTGGATTCACGTTGACATGCGATTCTGTCATGTGTCCCCCTGAAGGCCTGACGTTCCATACGTTGTTGGGCCAGCACGACGTGCTGCGGTTGCGCCCCGAAGAAGACCGCATTACGTTCACTTCGAATTCCTGATCCTGGATCACGAGACATGCGATTCTCTTTCTCGATTGGGCTGGTTTCAAATTCACCTCAAGACTCAAGTCGGTTTCTCTCAATACATTGGGATGCACCATTGACATGTGACCATTCGTCTCGGTTGAGCACGCTTCGCAGAATGGAAGTCCGAGTGCTACTTATTCTCACTGGTCCGCATAGGCGAAGAAATCGAATACCTTTTTATCTCGACGCTGATAAAGCTAGAAGATAAGAATATGCGCTATCCGACAGTTTTGTGTTCAATCCGGCGAAACGAGGACCGAACTGTGGGTGATAACAGTGATAAGTCTCTACCCCATTCATGTCACACCTCCGTTGGACTTATCACGCGAACGTACACAGATATGACAGTCCCCGTTGACTTCATAAAGTTACATGCGCAATTATATGTAACACCGACGTATGACGCTCGAGAATTTAATCCCCCGCGAAGCTCAGGGAGAAATGAACATTGCTCGGCTTAGCGCGAGCGAACTGGCTAGGCGTTATGAACGGCATTGTCACCGGGCCAAACGCCGGGGACCAAATTAACCTAATGGGCATATTAACGCGATCGCCATTTTTGTACAAGGCTATCCGCGGACCCCCTAAGAGTATCGAATGTCAATTCACCGACATCAGATATCAAATCATTTATGAGTTCCAATTTCCGCTCGTCGCATATCAAGTTGTATAGCCCATCGAGTGCTCAGAGAGATGTTGCACGCAAATATTCATGGTCATGGTCATCGGTGGTGGTTGACATAGACGGCTGCGTCGCCGGCAAACCGCGTGGGCTTTCCGGTACCGCGGACAAACATCCCACGACACTGCATAAATACGCTAGGATCGCATTTCAAACCAGCGCTCAGAAAGTTCACCGTGGTTCTAACAGCTGTGCTTGGTGATCAAAGTCCATCGGGACCTCAGTAGGGCTCAGTATTTGAATACGCCGTTTACCAGGGATTGAAGTACTCCTAGGACGAAACCATGTGGTGGACTTTGGAGGATCGGTACGTCTGTCAATGCCCGGTCCGGAGAATGAAACCTTGATGAGAAATGTAACAGTACTATCCCCTCCTGGTGGGCCAGGCCTGATAGTCCGGTTATTTATGGTGGCCCGCACCTGGTGAGTAGCTTACAGGGTGATCAAAGATTACCCGACGATGTCTCAAGTCTTTCCCGACAGCATTCTATGGAGTGGGTTCGCAAGGTTAGACTTCGGCACCATTTATCATTCACGCTGAGATCGGGTGGTCTTCGATCAGCCTACCGCCGCGGGAGAATAGCGAAGTTTGGATATGAATAGCAAGCCAATGACCTGATTGCGAATCAAATGACCATTCGATTTGAACGAGAATGCCGCCTGGCGGCGTTAAGTGTGTGCAGGGTACGACGTATGTATTATGCACACCATTGACTGGACATTGCAGGGATGACCAGAAACGCCAATGGATATCGAATGAGGGCGGAATTTGGCGTCAGTGGAGTGTCAATTTCGCCTAGATGAGATTTAGCACGATAAGTCCTGCCGGGCATAAGCCAACCACGGTGCTAACCCCCCTGATATCTTTAATTCAGAAATGGGGAATTTATCCCCATAGAAGACCTTCCCAGGGCAGAAAAGGTTCTCCCGTAAGACCTGGAGAATTAAACTGTATGTCAGCACGCACAATGGGTATAAATAACCAAGACAGTTGATGCTAACATTTCTCAGAGTATGGCAATCCGTATTATGTTCCTGAGTTGCTATAAGTAGGCCCAGTTGGCTTGAAGGTCTCAAGTGCATGTTGATGGGAGCTCCATAGATGGAGGGGCGCGAAAGGCGTGGCGAGCATGGAACCTCGTGAATTTGGTAGTTCTCAGCCTTTCCTAAGCCGAGCGGGGTCATTCTCCGAAAGTAGTAGATATGAAAAATGCGGCTACATAGCAAGTTCCAATTCGAACTTTTGGCAAGACCCGTCATGGAAGCCGGCTGAATCTGAATCAACGTGTTGGCTGTGGATATATAAACGTGCCGTCTCTCACCGTCCATGTGCACCCACATGACCCTATTCCCGTAAACAGCGGTAGGTTATATATGCCCTACGCTATCCTCGGGCAGTCGGTCAATGCCACTCCCATGTGCCGAAGGGAGGGGGGATTAGGCACATAGTTGATGGCACCGAGTGGATATTGGACAGGGAGTCAAGAAGCTTCACCCGATAAAACCAACAAGGCTATGCATGGCGTAACTGGCCAGGCCCCATGCCAATGAACACCACGGATGACAACCGTTAAACACGACGATTCCTGTGCATAAATCCAGAATGGAACAAGCAAAAAGTACTAGTAAAATTGTCTTTTATAGCTGTGAAACAGTAACGAGAAATGAAACAAAAAAAGACCGGTAGTTTGGATTTTTGAAAGAATAATGTAAAGCTATAA